AAATATTTTTTTGTATTTTGAAAATTTTCTGATAAATTAATTTTCCGGATAAAAATAGTACAAGCTATAGAGAAATTATTCCTTCGGAGAGTTTCAAAAAAACCGCTGAAAAAATTTGATTCTGAGCGTGGAGTGGCCCCCGTTAATTTTTGTCGCCACCTCCAGCATGGAGGCTTACTTTCGTTTCTTCGCGCGGCAATTTATCCCCGTCGGTGTTTACGATTACGATGGAAACGGCGCCCTCGCAATTAACCCGGACGGGTTCGCGGTTCTTACGTAATTTGCAGCCGGTCGCGTTAACAGCTCGTCCCCCCACTTATATCTATACACATTTATAAAGTTCACCGAGGCGATGCGATTACAGGCCCATTGACGTCGTCGGTGCATCGCACGAACGCCCATTTACCTACTTTTTCGCGTGCCACGCAACAGGCATCGCTCGACGACTCTTTGGACGCACTATGCTAATTAAAATTCGCTGTTCTCTTTCTCCCATTTGCCTGTCGATCCTCTAATGGCGCAACACGCCCATGTCCCGGGAACGATATCGATGGTACCGCGCGATTCCCGTCGTTCCGCGGGTAGTTCTATCGATTTCGAATAGCGGCCGACGGCAACTGTGAAAAGCAATACTTTCCGTCGGCGATATGGCTCGTCCATTGTTATTAGATCGTCGCTGTTATCGCCCAGGATACGTCGGATGCTGTACAAGTCTCGTTTTTCATCCGACTTTGGTCCTCTCGATAAAGTTTGCCGACGTCTCCACGAACTGTACCATTAAACACAACCATGTACATGTACAAATACAAAAGAGGAAAAGGAGAAGCCTATATGGACCGAAATAGAATCGTATAAATTTTTGTCTGCATAAAAAACTACTATTTATAATAATAATTGCAGATAAAGCTTCGATGATCAGGAAACTTAATTTATTTTCAATTTGTACTTTCTCTTTTCCTGCTCGCTAATTCGTGTGACCAAAGGTGGCGCCACTGACGCGATCCCGCTACGAAGTTTAACCTCCAAATGTGGTTCGCGTCGCTAAAAATTTGCCCCGTCGCCGCCCGCGCGCCGTGAACCGACGTTAAATCGCTCGAGGAGTATCTCGCGCTCGACGGAACACCGCGAGAGAGTTAAGACATCGTATAAAAGAGTCTACCGGTCGTATCCACGTCCTCAGACTGCTGCCTAATTGATATATTGGACGGGAAGATTGAAAATACCACCGTTCTAAGCGGCGCCTCAAAGCTCCACGGCGTTGCAATCGTTCCTGGATACGCTCGCTTTTCCTCCCTTGACGTTTATCGCTTCGAACGTTTCTTCGCAATTAGCTACCGCTCGGATTGCGAATATACGGGAGCCAGGTTTACGACCACCGCCGGGAACACGTGTCCTTGGACGAACGAGTCTGATTTTATTACGTTTCTGAAACGTACCGTCCCGTCGTCCGTTCGCGGCGAGATGGCCGTACTAAATGTACAACGTGCTAATGGCTCTACCGTCGTGCGTCCCGATCGAATAAACTTATTTTGCCGTTGCTCTATGGATTTACGAGTTACGGGTGGCCACTTTATGGCCTCTCGTTAGAAAATTACCAAATCTTTCTAATCGAGTAATACAATATAATATTATTATTATTTTACCGACCGTAGTAGCCTGTTAATCGAATTTCTGCCGGCAATGCAGAACTCATTACCAGCCGGTAAGGTAACCTACTCATCAAAAATGTTAAAACTAAAAAAGAAAAAGAATTCTACGTTTCTACGATAATTTTACGCTTATTTTTTTCGGTAACCGGCTATCTACGCGTGAATCTACAAGCAAAATGTCGTTGAAACCGATGAGGATCAGGTCTTGAGGTTGTGGTTGTTAGACCAGCGTTGGTATCCGTCAGTTTTACAACACGTTGCAACTTCTCTGATCGGTTTGCAGTTAGAAGTTAGGCTAATTAGTATTCCGGATGACGGTATATCGCGGTCGTGGGGACGCTTTAGGTAGAGGAAAGTTTAGCTTCCTTAACGACGCGACGCCGCCTCGGGCCTAGCGTCGAGTCTGCAATTACCGGTGGCGCGAGTGCGCCAGCGCGCTCGCGTGCACGGACGTCAATCCTACGCTCCGTGCACTTTATCGCGCGCGACACAAAGAGCAAGAACGTAATAACGTAAAGTATGCAGTTTAATTAGGGCTCTGTGCCGGTACGCGTTCTCATTAAGCCATTTGCATATAAACCGATGGCGCTCGCTCGGGGGCCCCGGACCAGGGCTGAAATCGTCTCTAATGGGAACGTAATTTCGAGCGCGGCGAGTAAATTCGCGAAAATACTGGATCGCTCGGCTTATCGCGAACGCGTTAGGATTATGGCAAAGTCCTGTCATATTCCCCTCCGTCGTTAACTTCCATTACACGAACGTAAAGGTCCGACAAGACCTGCAAACCCTGCGGGCCACCGATTTTATTGAAACTCTGCACACTCGTAGATCTAGTCATTATGTTTACGTATACATAGCATTATAGGGGTAGACGGTCAAAAATTAGATATTCGTGATTAAAATTTATATACGAACCGTTGCAACGAGCAATGTCTGTGTGTTTGTTTAGACTGATTTCCATGCGATCAGCGCTTTCGACGGCGAGCTGCGCAAGCTCGTTGAGTAACAATTTCAATTCTTCGCGCTACGCGGCGCCACTAAATTCTGTATACCGACACCGTAGATGTTCATTCGCATTAAAAATGCAGCCAAAAAATGGAAGTAGCTTACAATCAACCGTAATCGACTGACAATAATTTTAAACGATTAATAACGAAAATTCGTTGTACCGAAGGCGATTTAGAAGACCGTGATCGACGAAGGGTGAAGCAGATGGGCACGATTTTATTCCATTAATAGATAACGAACCGAATCCATCACCGTGCAGCAATTTCAATGCAACGTTTATTCCATTAGTTACTCGGATAAGCTTGGGTTAGATTCAATCGCACTGGAATTCATTCGACGTGAAATAATACAATTTCATTTAACAAATTCAGATCGTAATTGCAACGGAACGAGGCTGTTTACGTTTTTACGGCGCTGTTCGGGATTCATAAAAATTTCTTTTTTTTTAATTCGTTCTTTGTCCGGGCAAGAGATTCGCTCATCCCTGGTGCACAAAGTTATTCGAGAATCGGTTCTGTTACGAAGACAATTTGGAACGAGCTTAATGAGAAATTATGAGCCGTCTGAGCGTGAAATTCAGAGGCGGACGGAACACGGTGTATTCGGATCTGGAAATAGGAAACGTTTCATGGAATTTACTTCGGCCAAATGCCCGCGCCGGAACGAAATATCATTTGCGTAATTACTGCGTACAATTTCCACGGAATTTCTAACAATTTACGCAGCCGGGTAATCCGGTATCTTGCCGGGGGATACTTGTTGATCAAAAGAAGCTACGCAACGTTTCCTACTTCGCCCGGAATTCCCTTCAATATTTTATAAACAGTTCGTACGCGCGAGATTAAAAGTTTCACCCGGCGTGTGCAGCGTACGCGAACACTTCCTGCACTGCAACATCAAACTTTCCATGTATTACGAAAGCATCCGTCTTCGGAGCTAATCGATTACATTTTTTGATCGAGCCATCCGCCAAACTGAATTTCCACTGGACACGATAACCGATTATTTACAGTTTTCGCATTCACGAACATTTAAACGATCAATCGTAGTTACAATCGGCTATAGATAAAATTATAATTGATCGCTACAAACCAACTAAGGAAGCTAATTGTCTACTGTAATTAACTGTTGATAATTTCGAACGTAATTGATGCATGCAATTAATTTTTGCAATTAACAGAACTTATTTATCAATTGCAATTAACAACTGATGGTTTCGAAATTAATTGCTGCGAGCAAATGATTTTCACAATTAAAGATTTAACGTTGCGTTAATTATTGCATCGTTCCGTTTTGTAAAATACCGATGACCTCGAAATCTAATATTGTTTTATAAACAATATTATTATATTGTTTCTTGTAATATTTATCCCTGGATTTTCTCTATCGTTAAAAACACTCGAGAGGTTTGAGGTGGTCAAGTTAGGCGGGACACCCTGTATATAGTACTCGATGCAATTTGAAGCATGTGGCAAACGAGAACGAAAGAATGTCTTTGTATGCAACAATGTGGCGAAACAATTGCACAAGACGAAACGAAAATAAGGGGACGCGAAAACTTAATGTCATTCTTAGTTGCCATTTAACGTCAATTTGTAGACACGCCGTGCGTGTGCTTCGAGGATAGATAATTTTGTTTAACTCGTTTTTCGTAATAGCTACTTTTAGGTTGAGAACCACTGCCAGATGATTATAAAAAGACGCGCGCGCAGCCACGATTGTTTTCGTGTGACATAAAACGTATGTACATACTGATTCGTATGGCTATCGCCGCAAAAGTTCCTTATCGTGCAGGAAACGAAGGGGCATAGAGCAAACAGTTCCGGTAGCGACAAGACGGACGAGCAACGCAGGTGCCATCCACTCGTGGTGAAGGTAGGTTAGTGCTCGACGGAAAAGAGGGACAGAGAAGAACGGTAACAAGAATATCACATTATTTATGTTCCAAGAACCAGTCAATATCGAATTTACAGCATGTCCGATTTAACGCTTTAAAAACCTGATGTTTATGGGACGCCATCTATACGCAAGCTGTACAATTAGTATGGAGCAATGCCTATTTATTTCCTGGGCATACTCCGGGTTATTGAACGAATATTTTAAATTTTAATTAATTTTAATTTAATTTAATTTTAATTTAAATTTAATTTAATTTTAATTTAATTTGATTTTAATTTAATTTAATTTTAATTTAATTTAATTTAATTTAAATTTAATTTAATTTAAATTTAATTTGATTTTAATTTAATTTAATTTTAATTCATTTAAAAAATGTTTTCGAAGAAAAGCGCGTAAAAGGTTTCGGGGGAACGTAATCGCTCGAGCGTCCCCGGCATCACTCACCTTCTCTCGCTTTCAGGTACACAGTGTTCGCCACGATATTCTCCAACTCCATCAATTCCAGCTTGATCGGGTTTACGCGGCCGAATCGGGAGGGAGAAACTGGCCGGCCGACGGTCGGGGTGGGGAGGAGCAGCGAGCGTCTCGAACGGAAGTCCGTACGGCTGGTGATCTTTTCCGGGGTTGAGCACCCTGTCGGGCTCCGGCAGACCAGCTCCCATCTGCAGCCCCAAGACACCACGAGGACCGATCAGTCCCCCTTCACCGAGGACCAAGGACAACAGGAAGGACGACGACACGCTCTCGTCGTACGATTTGCTCGAGACGACTCTGGGTTCAGAGTTTTCGAAGGACGTGCGAGCCGTGGATCCACGCGTTTCGCGTCCAAGACTGGAGGAACAACCTATCGAGCCGACTCTCGAGTTCGTTGGCCCCCTCTGTCGGTGAAAAACCGACGCCGCGTGCACTTGTCACTGAACGTTACGCGGGACCCTGTCGACAGGGGGGGGGGTTTTCACTATTCACCGCGTGGTCTTTCGATTAACGTCGAGTGGTAGGATCCAAGAAGCCGGTTCGATGGTGGATCGTCGTTGCTTAGAATATCACGGGTCCGCGTCGTTGTTCATTTTTATTGGCGATAAAGAAACTTGGCGAAAGAGGCTTCATTTGGGAGTGCGGAAGTCGGTAAGTCGCATTCGGGATACGTGGCTCGTTCGTGTCCAACGGTGTGTACCCTCTTCTCCTTTTTAAATATCAGCGAGAGATCGTGCGCTCGTAGCCGATCCCCGGGGCCACGTTAGCGCGCCATTGTAAAAATGTCACGTGTCCGTGGATTCACGTACGACGGGACGGACCGACACACAACACTTGCACGCGCGTACAATGCTTTATACCAGCGCCTTTCACTCGGCCACTTTATAACGACGCCGCGCGGGAAGAGATGCCTTGCTGCGCATCCGGTAGATCCTTCTTCGTGGATTGTGTCTTCGATCACCGCCGGTTCGAGGATGACTGCGCGAGAACGCCCACGATACCTCTGTCCCCCTTTTTCTCTCGTTGTCACCGAATCGACTCTAGCGAATCTTTGTGCACGTCTCGATCTGTGCGTTACGGTCGACGAGACGGGAACGAGTATCGTTTATGGAAGAACGTATCGAGAATTTCGTTTCAACGAGAGGCCGTCTTATTTGCGAATTTCCAGCAGTTTAACGTATCCTGTCCAGCGATCCCCGAGATGTATGTTCTGGAACGAGATTTCAGATTGGCCGTGTTATTAGCGTGAAAGGACTCGCGAGAAACGACAATGGCGTAGTCAACGATGACGTTGACAGTTTATTATCGGATTCTTTGCGTTCGATCGTTCGACCGTGGTCTTGTTAAACAATTCGTGTCTCGTGCGACATGCTTGATGAAAAATTGATGGTTTTAAAAGATTTTGGAAGCTTAATAATTATTGGATTGAAGATTCTAGGGTCTTGTGGGACAGGGATAGGAGGATATCGCGATCGTTTGCGCCCAGGTCCCTTCGCGACGCGACGAGGCGTGAGTGTATTTGATAAATCACTATGCTCCTCGCGCTTCTCCTGTTTATCTGCCGCGCAAGAGACACGCACTTATCGTCGGGCATTCTACACGCGAAACTGCCAGGCGCACATGTGCGTGAACAGTACGCGCAGCAGGTGCACCAACGGGGATAAAGATAACGACACGACTAACCGCACCGTCGGCGTAATACCCGACGCGGTAATCTAATAACTTTTTTTTCAGGGCTCGATTCCCACCGACCCAGTCGTTTCCCTCCGCTATTTCCTATACAGGGTGTCGCGCGACTAGGATACAAGAACCATCCGTATTCCCAAATTCTCTGCTCGTAGAAAGAGTCCTGTTCAACTTCATTTTCATTGGGAACGAACTTGCTTTTCGTCTGGGCCTCCTAGGGGACTCATCAGTAAGACTCTCTGGCAGGCCCTACAGGATGTTCGACTACTCCTGGGAAAAATTTTAATGGAAGATTCTAGAGGCCAAAATAAGACGAAAATCAAGAATACCAATTTGTTGATGGAGGCTTCGTTAAAAAGTTATTAACAATTAAATTAAAAATTTCAAATCGGTCTGGAAAAATTATTTTCGGTTGTGGGGGTCAATTACAATCTTTTTTGGTGAATAGACATACCCCCGAAATCCCACGCATTTTCGAGAAAAAAATTCAGGAAGGTGGACAAATTTTTTGGCAAAATTGAAAAATTTTAAATCGTTATAAAATAATTATTTTCGATTGTGGGAATCAATTGCAATCATTTTTAGTGAATATACATACCCCCGAAATCCTGCGCATTTTCGAGAAAAAAATTCAGTACAGTTGGAACTTTAAACTTTAATAACTTTTTAACGAAGCCTCCATCAACAAATTGGTATTCTTGATTTTCGTCTTATTTTGGCCTCTAGAATCTTCCATTAAAATTTTTCCCAGGGTTAGCCGAACCACCCTGTATAGCAACGGAGTTGCTCGAGCGCTTGTGAGAGCGCGAGCCTTCTGGTGGCGAGCATGAGAGGTGACGCCATACACTCTGCTGTACAAAGAACGATGTTAAACTCCTTGTTACTTGGACTTGACAGTGGACCGACCGTAAGTCAGATTCCGATAGGATTAGGGTTAATTACACATCTGTCGACCACTCGGGTTAAAAGAACAAAAACAAACATAGACTGATGGTATCCTACTGTGGAACAAAGTATTCTACTTATAATAGAGTTATATCTGGAAAGCATAAAATTAATTGGGTTCATTATGCGTGTATTCTATTCCAATTGAGACGAAAAGATGCATCTATAGTTTTCGAAGGAATCTAAAATATTTAGTGGACCTAATAGTTTTCCTTCTGTGGAAGTTAAAGGAAAGATGATGTTTGAGAAACACTACCATAAGGAAACACTCTGTCCCCGTCTGTATCAACAATTCTCGCCGCACTCTGTACACCCCCCCTGTCCCAAACCAAGCCACTCGCGAGTAGAGCCGCGGAATGGACTCCCGTAGAATTAGATTCAAACTGGATGGATTCTCATCAAAGTGGATCTTACGGCTTGGCTGCATTACACCGGTAAATCCTATTAAACTGCGACAGCTAACGAATGGGTAACCCGACACGAGCTCTAAATTAAGTAACGAACGAAAAAAGACAGGGCCGGAGGGGGGCGGAGGGAACGGGACGCGACGATCGTTAGAGGTTTTGAAATGCTTTTTCTCGGTGACGCGATTCCTGTTTCGCGAAACCGGATTCGGAAGCGGCGGGCAGCGCCGATAACGACGGGAGAAAAAAATGTCACCGCAAAGGAAACAACCGGATGGTCGTCTGTTTCCCATTCCGCTATCTTCCGACAAATATCACTGCTGCTTTGATACAGAAAAATGATGTAATATCCGAGTGCGCAGCATGACATTTTTTTTCACCATTAAACTGACACTTTTATTACTGATTCGCCTTGTAGACGACTCAAAAGTAAAGCAAGATTAACGTAGCTCATATAATGACTCGTAGGAGGACAAGAGATCGATAATTAAGACCAAGATAAAATTTTTGTTCATTATTCGGGAATAAAAGCTCGACTTTCCTGCCTTACGTCCCCCATCTTTTTTTAGCTATTCGGCGTGTCCTGTCCAGTTTTCCCTCCTATCACGCCACGCCTCGAGGTGGCGTTAGCGTTCGTTACGCGCGAAATGCATTACAGCCTGACAGCGTCGCGAATGCTTTTAACGGACATCAACGATCCTGCATACGAGCAACAAGACACCGCGATTGATCGATTATTGGCAGTTTCTATTTCCGCTCATAATCTGCCCGCGTGCCAGCCGACGGGAAACAAACATCCCCGTGACTATTCCTTCCCGTGCGTTCCTAAACGTCTCCACCGTGGGCATTTTGTTTCCACGGACGCGACCGACGATCGTTTTCAACAGTTGTCCGGTGGAAAGGGGAGGGGGCGCGGTTGAACGCCACGTTGCGTAAATGCATCGTTCCGTGAGAACGGGCCGAGGCTTTAGGATCGTACTTATTATTTATGAAACGTGCAACTTTTTCCTCGCGCCGGGAAATACCAGCGGGCTCCTCCTCGCTCGGAAACAAACAAGCCACAGCATCCAGTCTGTCCGATGATTAATGCGACCGAGCCCGTTGTCGTCGACTAGACAAATTACTTTCCACGAGTTTCCACGGTTTTTTTTTTTTTTTTTGCCAGCTATTGTACAAGGTGTTCCGGCTGCTAATGACAATTCTTTTAATGGGTGGTTTGCACGGACCAACGTAAGACGTTCGAACAAGAATAAATAGATTTTGTTGTTTTTTTACTTCAGTGTGGATACACGTATACCTTCGATCAATTAGTTATCGATAATCGATAGCAATACCTGTACTTTAAAACGCTTGTAATAAATAAAATTTAATATATATATATTGTTGAATTGTGTCTGTTTCTATTTGTTATTATATAATTTGAAAAACTATAGCAACGTGTTTGGTCCATATCGAAATTGGAGAGGAAGAAAAACAGAGGGCGGCGTAGAGAAAAAAATAGGGAGAGATATTAATTGTTCCGTATCAGCATGAATACATAATCGTCGGTCAAACAGGAAGCAGCGATCAACGCGCGACAGAAAGCAACGATAAAAGTTCCGACGGCACGCGCGGAACAAAATACGAGCAGCGCAACGTTTGTCAGTAATACTGGGGAACGAAAGCCTTTTCGAACGCGGTATCGAATGTCTTATCGTGTGCATTCTTCTTTTAGAAGACTGTCGGGTATTCGATACTCAACACCGAAACAGGGAACAATCTATCAATTACACGGTTACGTTCCACGGAATAATTCTCGACGTTCTCGAAACAGTCGCGTCGATAGGTTAGGAAATTTAGGTTTCGCTGAATGTGGAACAAACACACGCTTACGGGGGTACACAGACCGAGATAAGGAAATTGGCAGTTTAATCAACGAACGCAACGATGCGATTACCGAGCCATTGACTCGTAATAACGTTTTTGTTTATGTCCTCGGCTTTCAAAATATCTATGCATATAGATAATGTAACAGAAATAATGTTTAAATAAGTTACCGATACCCTCATTATTTAAATGGCACAAATATATCAGCACTTTCATATTCGGAATAATAATTAGACTGCGAGTTTTGTGCATGGAATACGTGCGCTAAATATATGCAAAATACATGCAATTCTATAAAACGAAATACTAATATTGTTAGATTCATTTATGAAATATATTCACCCATATAAACATCCCTGGGAAAAATTTTAATGGGAGACTCTGGAGACCAAAATAAGACGAAAATCAAGAATATCAATTTCTTGACTGTGGCTTCGTTAAAAAGTTATTAACAATTAAATTCAACAATTTCAAATCATTCTGAAAAAATTATTTTCGGTTGCGGGGGTCAATTACAATCATTTTTGGTCATTACATATACCCCCGAAATCCTACGCATTTTCAAGAAAAAAATTCGAGAATATGCCTAAATTTTTCGACGAAAAGAAAAATTTCAAATCATTCTGGAAAAATTATGTTTGGTTGCGGGGGTCAATTACAATCATTTTTGGTGAATAGACATATCCCCGAAATCCTGCGCATTTTCGAGAAAAAAATTCAGTACTGGCGGAAGTTTAAATGTTAATAACTTTTTAACGAAACCTCTTTTCTTGAGTTTGTTTATAAAAATGAATATTATTCGAAAATTTCCTTGACCGAACAGCAGAGATGGGCGACGTTTGATTTGAACAACAGATGAATAAAAATACACTGCAATAATTTATTTGCGATGTTTATTTACTTGCACAGTTGTACAGATAAGTTTCAACAGTTTTTTAATCTCTTGGTTGAAGATCAGTCCCTGTCAGTGCTACGGATACAACTACGGAATACTATCGAGAATCTTAATAATAAATTAAACGTAATTGATACAAGTGAAAAATCTCGCGACACGAAGCTATTTGTTTCGTTGAATATATTATACACGTTTCCGGTAATGGCTTGGGAGGAGTAAACTACATACACGGATAAATTGTTTTATAATTTAAATTCTAATAAAAAAATCGTACGTCTTCCAGTCGTTATTTTTCTGTGTAAGAATTCTGCCCATCTCCGACTATTCGAATATGCACTCCCAAGCCCTAAATGTAACGAGAGGATGCTGGAAAGCTCGCGAACGAAAGGGGCGATTGAATGAGAGACAATGAACGCCGATGGCAGCGCGGGGGAGTTCATTGAAAGGGTACGGAGCGAACGAGCGAACTTTTGCCCGCGAATCGGGAGACATTGCGGCTGGCAACGCGAGCGATGCGTGCCTCGCGGCACAAACCGCCTCTTGTGCGTGTGCATCAAACTGAAAAATCAAACGCGTGGAGAGAAGGGGACCCATTGTCTGCCGCAGACTGGAAACACTTACGTCGCTGAATTTCGGTCCCGACAGCTTTGATACCCGGTCACCCACGCGTTCCGTCTCCCCCGTAACAGCGGGAGCAATCGTAAAGCCAACCGAGCGCTAATGTGGTGACAGCGACAATGTAAATAGACGGTGGACTCCGTGCACAACGACGAGGTCGTAACACCTGCTCGACCATGAACTTGGAAACGCACGGACGACGAGTAACTCGCAGGGGGCTTCAACGGGGCGAAGCCCGCCGAAATATTCTCGTGATCGTGGTCACGTTTCGATCACGAGACGCCGGTTGGAAACTGTCACGCGAGCCCGGTAGACGGACGGTTTTCCCCTCGGTTCGAGTGTATTGTCCCTAATCGTGCGCGCACGAGTCTCTCGGGGCAAGGCTGAGAAAAAGGAACACGAGAGAAAGCAGGGACGAAGAAAGAGACGCGGTTACCGACGGAGCGGCGCACGGTGTATAAAGCACGTCGCAGGGCACGAGCCTCGGCGCGACGTCGTTTTCGTGAAACACGAGACGGGCGTAAACGATCGCACCAGACGCTTTCTACGAGAGGGTAGGGCGACTCGGGAGGGGGCGGAGAAGGGAGTAGCACGTACGGTGTCGGTACACCCGGTATAATGTAACACACCGATAGCAGAGCACCGCGCGGTCGTAACAGCGACACGAAGAAAGCGCAATGGCCGACCGCTGCACCTCCGCTGGTAGCTTCGATCCTCCCGTGGCCACGAGGAAAGGCTCACACACTTTCGCATCCGTTCCGTGGCCGACACACGTGCACGACACGCCTCGTCCGAGTCGACGGGGCCGCGATGACACGCGGACGTCTTTCGACCGTTTCACGGGACGGTTCGTATTGGTCCGATCGTATGAACCCGCTGCCACTCGCGCCAGACCGCCGCGCACCGTCCCGTCCGCTGGATAAAAACCGACTGACTGGCATGCTCCGTTTCGAGCCGCGATGCACCGCCGCGGATGATGAGAGGTTAGGTGGGGTCGGGGGCGGAAAGGGGACGCGTCGGGACTCCGAGCGGACGCGATGCATCCACCCCGATTGGGGCGACAGAGACACAGATAGACGCGCGGACGACTCCGATTGGGCGTGGTAGAGTCCCTAGGCTCGTCTTCGGATACCGACTGCGGGTGCGATCCTCGCGGGCGCCATGTTTGCTAGGACGCTGGCGCGGTAGATTCGAACGCGGTTCTCAGCGATCCTGGCAAAACCAGATTTCCATCGAACGAAAAAATCAGAAATATACTCGCACCACCGAATATATTCTGTTCCGACCATCGAGTCTGGCCGCCATTAATAATGTTTTATCAATCTATCTTTGGACAACAAAGTGAAAAGTCTGATGACGTGCATATGCGTCATTCGTATCCTGGAACAGAATCTGAATGACGCATGATTTCATTTGGCACCAATGTGTTAAATTTAAGTAAAAATATTTAAACAAGTGTAACGAAATTGATACTTCTTTTTATCTTGACCACATGTAACGTCCCCCATTATTTCTTTTTTTTTAAATTTAATATTGTAGCTGGCAATAAGACGAATTCATCTATGTATTAATATCATGTGCTGTTGTGTTCTTGTATTTTCTGTAACGATTACTATAATGATTCCAGTTTTCGTTTAAGTCTCAAATGCCCGATGACGCGGCGAACGGAATATTGCCGCGCATTTTTCACGCCTCTCGCGGACCGACGCTAATTTCGAATCCCGTGCCCGCTCGCGCTAAAATTACCCCCCTTCTCGAGCGCAAAAACGAGTAATCTCAGAAGTCGACGCGTGCAACAATGCATCTGGAGCATCAATCACGCGTGTCATTAATGGTTGCGGTTGCGGTTAGAAGGGATCAAGAACTATAATTCACCCGGAGTGCGTATACGCGATGTAGCGCGTTATGCGTTGGTACACGATTTATGCGATGTCCATTCGGTCGCTGGCAAGGCAAAAAGCCAGATCCAATTTTTATCTGTGGATACCTTGTCGTTCTTGAGCTTCGATGTAGTGTAATAAGTTTCGAGAATATAACATTGAATTTACGTTTCATATCATTTTTCTGTATTACAGAAAATTTTATATTATTATCAGAAACAGATCACGTTCGCCTTATCAATTTTTCAGGATGTTAAGGATTCTTTGGGTCGAAGAGGATTTACATCTCTAATGCCATATCGATTAAATGTTATAGTTTTTTAAAGAGAGCCACACTTCTTAGTCGGTTAAATAAACTGCTAGTTTCCATGTTTGACGGTAGATACCGCCACCAAATTCTGGCGACCGACACTGCAGTTATTCTATTCACATTAAAAATCTGTGTGTTTGTGATTTGCCTGTATCTGCTACTACGTTTTTCCAATCCAGACGAAACTTTGTTCAGTTGTTGTTTATGTTCCGACGGTAAGTATAGGCTATGTAATTTTTGAAAATATTATGTATAATTATTATTAAATTATCCTATTTCTGAACGAAGAAAGGACAGATAAAAATTCTAAAAACGTATAATTCGATTTACATATCATAAAATATACGTCTAAGTAAAAAATGCCTGAATATATTATTACGAATTTACAATTTTATTTTTAAATAAACTAGAAGTATCCTAAGCTTGTATAAAATTGTCAGACAACGCTTCCTTGTATACGAGATTTTTCAGAATTTATCACTGGAATTTAACGGTATCAACTAGTGAACAGTAACAATTACAATACAACTGACGTCAATGAATGTTGAAGGACAATTGCCGAGTCTTAGCATTAAACGGGAGGACCTTTGACTCCCCCACCACGCACACAAATCGTGACCATTCACTTTCCACACCACACACGCACAACCAACACACGGAAAGTAATTTTTCTCGAAAATTATACAGCTGAATCTAACGTTTCGAATTTCGCTGATAAAAAAAATCATTAACGAAACAAGAGGATCCGCCGGGTTGCATTCGTACGGGTCGCGTAATTTTTGTAATTCGTCGTTGTAAAAATAACAGAACCCTTTCCACTCGGGGTGGGCGTTCTCTATGGAAATGTTCCTGAAATTGCAAAAACAAAGGGATTGCCGCGCGACTGGATGGAAATGTAAACACTGTTTTTTTAACTCCCCTGCCTACGCCTCGCAACAACCGATGCAGCGCAAACAAATATTTAGATTAATCGATAACGTAGTGGGTATTGTTATTGAGGGCTGTTATGCTGCCTTCGGGGCAACTTCCCTCGTTTTCCATTCCAAAGTTTTTGTTCTTGGATCGAAAACACCAGGGCAGTCTTTAAAAGCTTATTCGTATTTTTGACACGTATTTTGTACCAGATAAAGACGCGTTAGACATTTCATAATATTAAAAAAAAAAAGAATGCCCGAGCAATGGTCTTTTTTTGCTCGTTGAGGTGGTGTTTCCCCTGAAAAGGAACCCCTCTTCATCCCCGTTCACCGAGTGTCGTGCCTCATATCGGAAGTATGTCAAGAATTTCGCCCGTGGGCCGTTTTCACTAATAGCTCGCGATAATTGGTTCGCCGTGTTCGTCGCGGTTACGCCACGAAACGAACCGTGTCAAAAGCTGCCTGTTACTTGAATTATAAGGATTTTTTGCCACGTCCTCGTCCGGCTGTACGACGATGAGGTCACGATCAACCGGAGAACGGCGAAAAAGTTTCACGTCGTCGCGATGAAAAATTTATTTAACCAATAGTTTATACTAAATTTACATTATTTATTATCTATACGCGTTAAATTATAATGGATCGCTTTTGAATGAATATTGGGTGTATCATATTTTTCCTGTTCGTTTAACATTTGTAAGTAAGATTTTGTCACTGTTCTTCAGCCACCATTAATCAATACGAGGTTTCGAGATTTTGTAATTATGTCGTACGATCGTCGAATTGCACCAAAACGATTCAAAATTTGCATTTCACTCTCGATTAATTCCGATTAACGAGACTTTGTCCCTCCTCCCCCTCGCGCTAGAGCAAAATTTCGTTTGAAACGGTCGCTAAACCGATTCCCTGTTTAATCCCGCGCCATATCCCACTCAATCGATCCCAATCAACTAGCGACGACTGTATTTTTATCCTCGTTAATCTAGATTCCGCTGCACCGAGCCCAAATTGACAAACTACCGCTGTATTTCTATCGCGTCCTGCAAACTTTGATCAAGTCCAGCACCGTTGGTCAACCCTGTACGTGGAACGGTGATTCTTTTTTTTTTTATAACATCCCGAACAACGGGGTTGTAATCCAATATTTTGTCGAAACAATTATTCGCAGACGGTATTAAAAAGCACACGGCCAATTTGGAAATGCAAATACGGTGTTATATACCAAAGAATACTGAATCTAGAGAACACGCTAAATACGAGATTAGTCACTGGCGCCCGATCCCCGGATATTTGACATTTGGATTTAAAGCGGGGTGTTTGTACACCCACACCTCGCTCAATCCAGGGTTAATTTCCCTTCAATCCTCCGCGCCTCTTTCACCGTTAATCCGAGCTTTCGTCCGTGTTTCGCTATTCTGCAGAATCTTATTAATCTAGACATTAATTCCGCCTTTTAAACGCGATCTCGCCGCCGCCCGTGGCGTGAAATTGGCTACGTGAACTCTTGTTGGTTCGGCCAACCACGAAAGTCCGTTTTTGCGCTGCAGAGTTTGCCAGTCATACGCTTCTCCTATGCGACGCGGAAAACTAACCTACTTGCACCAAATTAATATTTTATTGCGTTCGAATAAAATTTAATCGATCGAATTACCGTAGACCATCTATTATTAGTCGTGGCTCGGTCTCTGTTCCGCTGCGATCGTTAAATAAGAAATAAGTGGAAAAACTATTTTTCGGTCGCGTTATAAACGATCGGGCTCGACGATTGTGCAACGACGAACGATACGAGCCGGTGTATCGAGTAACGACAACCACGTTCCGCAGGCCGCAGAGGCTTTCTAAGCTGCGGATCTTTTTCTCCAGATCGAATTGCCTTTCGTTCGCCCCGATGACCGACGACACTCGAGTTCACCTCGGTCTCGTCGACGACAGCGCGTTGTTCCAACCCTCGCGTCGCGCGAAGATTATCCTCGCGAGATTCAGTTGTCTCGAAGTCTGCTGGTCATCCCGATTTGGTCAAGCAAAAAAAAAAGGAGATAAAGCCTCGACATTCGACACCAGCAGATGTTTATACACGGCGACGTCATTAGCCTCCAAGTCGCCCGAGTTTTTTTTTGCCGAGACGACCGTTGGTCGACAATCGAAGAAAAGGACAGCGAACGAGAAAAAAAAAGCATTGTCTCCGGCACCCCATTCCACATCGTTTTTTCGACGTCGTCTTTCACGCTTCGCTGGGCTCCAAGGGGGATCCCCCCCTCGGTTTCTGTCTCGAAACGTGTCTCAACGCGCACGAAAAAACAGTTGGTTCCTTAAACCTTAACCGTCACGTTGCCCATATATGGGTGACAGGATTTACCATTATGATACCAGAAAAATTAATTCTCAAGTTGAGACGTTGAGGGAAATGAATTTGAATAGAATTTGTGAATTTTTTTACGAAAATAAGTACTCAATCAAATTTTAGGTTATGTAGCTTACGATGGTCTGAAATAAAGATTTCACTTGTGCAGAACTTTATACGGTTTTGATCTGGCAGTGAACGTGTTAATCGATGATTCTTTAACACTAGAATATTTATTGATACCTTTCATATGTTGACGATAACCTTACAATACGATTTTTCTTTTAATTAGAATATGTATTCATGCCATAGCATCAATCAAATTCAACATAAGTTGTTAAATATGGAATCAGATATCTGTCGAATTGACGTCTTCCGTAAATCTAGTGTTAATTTTTAATCCTCGTCCGAGCATGGGAGCAACGAAGCTTAAGAATAACTAACCGATGATCCCAATTACTTCGAAACCGTTCGTAATCAGAGCACTTGAAACGTGATGTTCGAACGTCTTCGAGGGGAAAAAGGGTCCGGATTCGTAAGAACGTTCGATGATGAGAATCCGCTGGCCCCGGGGACCGTAATCGCGGAACGGATTCACGACGACAGCGTTCCCCATTGAACCCGCGTAAATCTGGTACGAGCGTCGCGCGATGCCACGAGTCGGTTGAATCATCCGCGTCTTCTACGGGGCCACGAGGCGGAAAAGAAGAAGGAAGGGAGGCTAGAAAAAGCGATCCGCCATGTGGGCCGTCTGAACTTGTATCGCGGACGCGTTACGCGAGGGATCGCGATGCATGTCTCGCGACCAGTGCGAATATATCGTATTGCGTGATCGATGCAGAACACGCATCAGTAGCCCGTGGAACGGTAAACGAAATACACGTGTTGCGGTTTCGATCGTCGGTCCGGATTCGTCCCTAGACGCGTGGAAAAATCCTCCGATCGAGGACGCGTTCTTCGAGGAACGAAAGGTAAAAAAAGAAGCTCAGCAACTTCGTGTCTACAAGCACAACGTGTTTGCACAGATCGGAAAAGTAGATCAGGGATCCTCGACCAGGCTCCACATGGCCCCCCATATCGCACAAAGTGGCAAACTAGACTGGTGGAACCGTCCACAGGAATACGAAATAATAAAATCGGGACGAAAATAGACACGGAGATTTAAGCAGTCTCTCGTGGGAGTAGAAATATATAACCAATAATTAAACTCGTTAAAACGAAAGAAATGGAAAAATTCCCGTGGCTAGATTTGAATATATATTATGTTTGTACAGATTAGATTGCCAAGTTTTTTATACCAGCCTGAATGTTGAATAGAAGATTCTGATTTACGAACGAATCTAACATTTTTATTTTTTATTCGTGAAATGAAATTTGTTTAGCTCTGCGCCGGAAGGATTTATATACGAGTGTTTGGCAAGGAATGAAAGAGTCTGGTTCTCGGAAGAACGATGACGGACACGTAGCTCGATCGGATCGTTATCGCGACTCCGAGCAGGGAATATGGTATTGGTAATCGTACTGGGAAGAAAAATGAGGCTGGGAATGAATTGGAAGCTGGCTCTGTTCGGTTTGTCGATTACGTTGATTCTGCTGGACGTTTGCGCCGCGAGCAACAGCACCTGGGACAAAATACGCGAGAAGAAAGCGCGTATCGTGAAGAAACTGAAGAAGGACTTCCGCAAGCTGAAGAAACAAGATGGCGCGGTGAAGTTGGTGGGTGGCGAGCACGGTCACGAAGGTAAATCGAACGGTGTCCTTGTTCAATGGCTTTTTGATATTGTTTAAACGAGTGTAACAGAGGAAAATTTATCACGCCGTTGCCTGCGTTTAAAGACCAGAACGATTAATGCTATATTTGTCCTGTACGGACTAATATTCCAATTATTATTCGAAATCGTTTTATCGGAACAGTCAATTTACCATTGGGAATAAAACGAAAGCGTATTGGAGTTGGAAATTTTTACACTTTTAAATTGAGAGTCTGCCCAGGCGACTGCTATGATCAAACGATTCGAACTCGAAACTTTCGGGATTAAATGGAACGATTCGAGGGATTTAAAAAATGTCTCTCGATTGCTGCGTTTTGATGTAGAAAAATCGATGGGGAAAAACGCGATACGAAGTTCGAAATTCGAAACTCCCGCTTTGATGAGGACCAACGGTAAAATAATAATATCGGGTAGCGAGAAAACGTAACCTATAAAATGGTTCCCTGGTAATATTTTATTGTACGATCTTTCAATATTGTAACAATTATCAAATTGGCAAAATTGTGCATATTTAATTCCAGTTAGGCCTAAATAGAGATTCACGAAGGATATCGAAGATAAATATACTGGCGTATGTCCACTTAAAAATGAAAACTGTTGTAAATAAAGTGACGCGTGGTTCGAGTCGGTCTAATTTGAAAATTGGCGTTCGCGACACCCTTTTCTATCGAGTTTGTGCAGCGTGCGGGGAATTGGACCATTCACGGTTGCGCTACGATTACTGGAACACCCTCTATAAATCTCCGGCGCGAAAACGGGAGTTACGTGAAACGTTGCGGTTTTATCCGCCGTTCCTCGGTGCACGTTGTGCAATGACGATTAAAAAGGGGTCAACTCAGAGGATGATTTATGTCAACGACTATGTGTCAGCGTAGTAAACGTTACGTAGGCACAGAACCGCGAGTCATGAGATGGGATGCTCACCCGTCAAATTGGACCATAAAACAGGATAGAATTCGTCCCAGACGTTCGCGTGTCAATTTTTATTGCCCTCCATTGGGCATATCACGATCCATCGCTGTCATCCTTCTACTGTTTCTACAATTTTACTCGTATTCCCAAACAATTCGTAACTCACAACTAAATGCTCGTTATTTTCAAAGTCGAATCCAAAAGGGATGGTGGGGGGTGAAATACATAAATATGTATTTTTCAATCTCTTTTCGCACGATTTGAAAGTTAATAAATCATTTATCGATCCCTCACCGATCGAGTCTACATTAATTATATAAAAAATATAATACGAATATTAAATTAATTTTACAGTTATAAAACGATATTATCTACAAAATGAACGCGCAATTTGCGTAAACAAATCTTACTCAGCGGTTGCCAAACTGGAAGCAAGTCGTAACCTTCGCGTCTATAACTGTTATGCTGTTTATGCCAGTGATTTTTAACCACTATGAACCTTGAACATTGCTACACTGTGCTGCAAATGTTTGATAACAGATTGGACGAATTATTATTTTTCATAGGCAACTTAATTTTGGTAAATGTTAACTGTAAAGCAGAAAATCACAAATACGTGACAGCGGCCGGTGACGACTGACTGGAAAAATATACATTTTACCTGTTAGCGACAAAAATTTAATATAGTTTTTGGTGTGCTGTAGAAATTTAGCGATTAACATGGACGCGAAATTGTACCGTGTAATTTCCGCGGTGCTCCGTAAACTTTGCCGCTAGTTAACGGAACCGGAAAACTGTAAAGCCATAATTCGATTGGTGTGCAGGAAACGTGGAAATACTTCACGACGGGAAATGGGGCGGCGTGTGCGACGACGAATGGGATTACTTGGAGGCCAATGTGGTTTGCAGGCAATTAGGCTTCGACGGTGCAATTAAACCGACGACGAACGGTCACTTCGGCCAGGCCAGAAGTGAGATAATATTGTCTCATCATTCCAGTCAATACATATACTCCTGCACGGCATAAATGCAATAAATCGGATCGTTCCCGCCACGGTGGAGGAACGTCGCGAGCAATTGTCACGAGCAAGTTTGAAAATTTTCTGTCGATCGAGCACACGGCCAGTGATTTCCAAAATAATTGCAAGGCGCCAGCCTTCCTTGATAAAAAAAAAAACTTTGAAAAAATGATGAACAAACCAGAAGATACGAATTTTTCGTTGAAAAAGGAGTAGAAAAGTTCTTTACCGTTTTGCAATCAGAGGCTTCGTTTTCGAGATACAAGCGGTTAAAGTTGATCGATCGTCTCCTGGCACGCGCCATTTGTATATCAACTGATCGCGCCGCGCATGCGCACAAGCAGTTCCACTTGAAAACTTTGAACGTTCGTATCTCGAAAACGAAGCTTCGGATTGCAAAATGGTAAAGGACTTTTCGATCTTATTTTGAGGAATTTACACGTTCTGACTTGTCCCACTATTTTTAAAGATCCTGTATAGTATGGGACAGGGCATCCAAAACATTTGTGGATTAAAATCACATTACAAATGACTATGCTAAACGATTGAAATTTTATTTTACGTTCGTCCTTTGGGGTGGCGCCCACCACTTTGGAAAACACTGGTATACATGTTGGAAAACCTCTGTTCGATATCCATATATTTACCGCACGAAGCTAATAAAGAATGCCCTTGGGTGATGTACGGGACAGAAGAGAAATCTGTCTTTTCGTCCATAAATTGCGTTTCCACGACGATAATGTTATTATTCATTACTTTATACGAAACCCTGACCAATATTGAAATACACTGTTTGAAAATTCTGATCACTGGATCTGAATTCTACCCAGGGGCATTCTCTTCAGTTCTCCGCTATATCTGTTCGTTTCAACCTCCATACATTTATAATGGGAAAATCCATCGTGGTCCAACGTTAAAGCCACTGTTATTATTATTGCTACAACCACTAAACGTCTTTACCAAGAAAAATATTCATAAAATTCATGTTACTATAATAAAACCTAACTTTAATTCTAGTCTACAAACAATTTTACTTTTGTATAAAATTATTAATGAATTGTTCAGTGGTCGTAGAGATGGGAAGAAGTACGATGCACGGTTTTGTACACGATTCCCCTACGACATCGGTCAACGCAGAGAACGCAGTGCTTCGCCATAATCGATCCCATTTCCAGACCACACGGTCCATTCTGCAAATTCCTTTCGAAGCGACAGAAATAGCATTCCGTTTCGAACATTTATTACCACGGTGCAAAAACACCATTCACCGTCCAGTACATTTTCCAAAGCGAGCTAGAATTACGCAGTGGCTTCGACGTCGGATCGCGGAGGGTTGCGGCTGGCGACGGGCTTTCGCAAGTTTTCGAACAAAAGTGAAACGTAAATTACACGGTTTCTCATTTTCCAATTAAATATTTAACAGAAAACTTATTGGAAATTCAGTAATGGTAGTCGAGACGTTGATGAAATATTTCTGAATTTTGAAAAGTCAATGCTACTTGGTAGGTTAATTTTGCTGCTCGAAACTTTCAAACTTTCCTAACCATATTCGACTTGCAAGACTCGCTGGAGCCAACTTTGAGAGCTCAAGGAGTCGCGAGAGCCTGCTCGAGTCCCGGTCGCTAGTTGCGGGAAGGGCGACGGGGGGTCTAAGATATCGAGGGGGGGAAAAAACATTCCAGGAAGATATTGGATGGACAACGTGTACTGCGACGGCAGCGAGGACGAGCTCTCTAAATGCAGGTTCGACGGATGGGGCGCTACCGACTGCGAGGGCAGCGAGGCAGCCGGGGTAATTTGCGCCCGTGGTGAACAGGACGAGGAGGGGGAGGAGGAGGAGACGATAACGCGGACGAAGCCCAAAAGGAAGCCGGAGAAGTCGAGGATCAACGATATCCATCAACAAGGTGTGGCGATAAGGCTGGCCGGTGGACGTGTCCACTCAGAAGGCAGACTCGAAGTCAAGCTAGGAAACTCAGGTATTTACTTGTCTCGTGTTCCTGGAACTACGATGCCTTTTCGTATCTCCTAGAACGAACCAGATCGAGCAGAATATATCGTTGGAAGTGCAATCCTTAAAAAGTGATATTCGAATGGAACAGGATAGCCTACAAATTCTATCGTAACTTCGATAACTTGATCTTTCTTTAGTTTCTTCCTCCCTACTTTTTAAGAATTTCGTTCTCGTTTCTCCTTTCCCGAAGAAAAGTCGACCGTCGACTATGGCCGTCGGCGAAAGATAATGGCGACTCCGAGACTCGACGATATCGCTGTGTATAAATATCTGCCGGTGTCGAATTTCGTCTCCGCTGAACGAAAGGCGAACACGTCACCCTGAAGCGATGTTTATCTTAAGAATCATTAACGTAAATCTAACTGCAATTTAATACGTTCACTGCCAGATTAAAAATAACATTCTACAAGATTAAAACGTTGATATTAGGCCAGTGGGAGCTACATAACCTGAAATTTATTTCAATCAACTATCACCCAATGTCCCATAAGTATATAGAAGACCTACTCGATACTTGACTAGGTTAGAAATCTTCAAAAAGTGAAATATCGTCGTAAGTCGCCTGGTTTCGAAATCGTCGCTTAAAAATCAAGTTGGAAAACGTAGGAAACGTAGGCAGGATCGTTGGGGAGACTCGACGAAGTAATTTTGCTTCAGATTGGGGTGTCGTCTGCGGCGACGGCTGGTCTCTGTTCGAGGCGGCGGTGGTCTGCCGCCAATTGGGCCTCGGCTACGCCTCCGACGCCGTCCAGACGAATTTTTTTGGCGGCCAGAGGATGCCGATGGCCATCAGCGGGGTACAGTGTCACGGGGACGAGAAGAGCCTGATCGAGTGTCTGCACGACAGGACCGTGGACTGTCCAGGTGAACGAGAAGTTACGCAACGAGACGACGGGGGTCGAGAACTAGGCCAGACCGCGGGAAATTATTTTTCGATACCGTGTTTCTCGTTTCATCGAGGTTATTAAGAAAATCACCCGGTGGATATTGCGAAATAAAATCGCGTAATTCCGCTCGACAGGAGTGGCGGAGAACGTGGCCGGCCTGGTGTGCCATCGTGAGATGCCCGACCTGGTGTTCGACCACATCGAGCTGATGCGAACCGCTCATCTGGAGGACAGGCAACTCTATTGGCTGCAGTGCGCCATGGAGGAGAACTGCGTCGCGTCGCAGGCCTACCAAGTGCAACGGGAGTCGGAGAACTGGCACCTGGAGACCAGGCGACTGCTTCGATTCACCGCGAGGATCCTGAACGCCGGGACCGCCGACTTTCGACCCTCTGTTCCTAAACACCTCTGGGAATGGCACATGTGTCACATGTAAGCGACAAGCAATTAAACAGCCTCGAGTCCCCCGACAAATTGCCATCGATATTACAAATTGTCGAGTGACCTATTAGAGGTACTGTATCAGAATTGAAATATTAATTACCGGGGGATTAACGGGGCACGAATAGACTCGGTACTGAAAGCTCCTTAATTTCCTTTACCCTCGTTAACGCAACATTAGCGTTTTTCTTGTCGTCCTTTACGATCAAAATACATGCTCTATTCCAAGAAGAATATAATAATAATAATATTACAATTTTATTTATAGTTATTTTATTTTTTAATTGTTTATTTATATCCGGGTAGATGGCAGCTTAGGTTTCCGATTGTATAATTCCGCCTATTATTTTCAAGCACACTCGGAGGGAAAGTTATACGTAAGTAGTTTCGAATCCCCGAACAATCGATGGCTTAGCTCGCGATTTCGAGGATCGTGAGATCAGCCGTTCGAAATTGAGAACCACGAAGCCAACAGAAGTATATATATATATATATATCGCCATAGCCGAGGCACCCGTGGAAATATAACGAGGAAAGTTCATGAAAACACGGACCTTTTTTCGCGTCTCGTACTCCCGTAAGTTGGGCAGCCTGGGCGGTCCGGGTGTTCCGCTAATTCTTTCGACGAATCTCGCGCGTCTCCGAGGAAATTGGACTCCCGAACTTCAAACTTCGTGCAGTTCCCGCTATCTCCGGTTGGCCCCGGCGAGCAGCTTTTATAAAACTCCTTCCAGGAAAGGAAGGAAAGTAATATCGGTCCGGTTGTGTTGTTAGTTTCCAAGCCGTTTGGCGCAACGCGGCCCCGATTTTATCATCGGCAGCTTTGCAGAACAGCCGTGTTCTTGGAAGTGATATCCGGTTAATGCTTTCAACCTTCCTGCTTTTTATGTTAACGTTCTTGTACGTACTTTCGAGACACGTAAAATCCTTCATTTTACACTGCGTATAAACGTCCGTTTCGTACGCGTTTTCGCCAACAAACAATTAACATAAAAAAATAATTTGCCCAATTTCTCACCTTATTCTATTTTCTGCTTTCGCTATAAACATAAAAGCGATTATTAAAATATGTGAAAGATTAAAAATGAATTACTTTTAGATTACGACCGCGGGAGTGCTTGCATAATTGAGGTTAGGTTGTAAAATTTTTTACCGCGTTAAGTTACGTAAATAAATTTAAAAAAAAGAAAGCTTCCCGAACATCTCGACAGGGAAGCTTCGAAGCGGCTTTTAGACGCTTCGAACGGCTTAAAAAGTAACCCGAAGAACGTTAAAGCTCGAGCGCTAAGAAGTAATTGGTTACTACTTTCTGGCAAAGAAATATCGAGACTCCATTCGAAGGCACGATCCGCTAAATTTCTTCCTTTTCCAGAAGAAATTTTTGTTGTTGTCTCGATATAAATATGTAGCTCATGTACTTACACAAACCACGCGACATTTACAGGACCGTGTTTTAGCAGTAGGCTATTCCTCCATGCAATACAATTGGTATATTATATTAACACCTACGCCAGCGCCATTCTGTTAAAAATGGGGGCTGTATCGACGTTTTCATTTATCGGTAATTTGGTATAAATTTATTCGAAACCGGTTTAAAAATATACAGGGTGTTCGGCCAACCCTGGGAACAATTATAATGGGAGATTCTGGATGTCAAAATAAGACGAAAACCAAAAAAATTCGAGTAGGTACTGAAATTTTTAGACGAAATCAAGAAATTTCAAATCGTACTAAAAAAATTATATTTAGTTGCAGGGGTCAATTACAAGCATTTTTGGTCAATAGACATACCCCCGAAATCTTACTCATTTTCGAGAAAAAAATTCGAGTAGGTACTGAAATTTTTAGACGAAATTAAGAAATTTCAAATCGTACTAAAAAAATTATATTTAGTTGCAGGGGTCAATTACAAGCATTTTTGGTCAATAGACACACCCCCGAAATCCTACCCACTTTCGAGAAAAAAATTCGAGTAGATACTGAAATTTTTAGAAGAAATTATAAAATTTCAAATCATACTAAAAAAATTATATTTAGTTGCAGGGGTCAATTACAAGCATTTTTGGTGAATAGACATAACCCTAAAATCCTACCCACTTTCGAGAAAAAAATTCAGTACGAACAGGTCTTTAAACATTAATAATTTTCTAACAAAGCCTCTATCAACAAATTGATATTCTTGATTTTCGTCTTATTTTCGTCTCTAGAAACCCCATTAAAATTTTTCCCAGGGGTGGCCGAACAGCCTGTATAAGATTGAAAACGTATAAATAAATAAAGTAAATGTAAAAATTGGTCCTATCTCCATCGTCAAATACACACGTTCTACGAAGATTCGCGTTATGTTACCAAATAATTTCTAACGACAGTTCCTACCTTTCGAGGAGTCCAACTTCGGTAACAATGTTTTCGTGAAACTTCTCTGGCACCGAGTTTCCCAACCATTCGTCGTATCTTCTGTTATTAGGAGTTGAAAACTATCGATTCACTTGCATACAGGATCCACGACGCTCGCGGTCAAAACGTCGCGACGACACTGCGTACCGAAGGGGCTCTGTTGTTTATATACACTTTGTCCTTACGTCGAACGAAGGATAGGTTAGCTCGTTTCGTGGACGCACTATCTGTTCCGGCGATCGAAATCTTTCGTCGCCGGCGCATATCGCGCGAAATCATCGAAAATTCCGACCGTTGCTCGTCGCTGGCGTACTTTAAACTGCACTCGCCTCGCGTTCAGTAATTCTACGTTATGGGTTTGTTAACGACAGGCATTACCACTCGATGGAAGTGTTCGCAACGTTCGACGTGCTCGACGGGAACGGGACTAGGCTCGCCGAGGGCCACAAAGCATCTTTTTGCCTAGAGGACAACCAATGTCTGCCTGGTGTCAAACCGAGGTAAACAATTGGTCGCGTAACCCGACACCGCCTTGCGTTCACGTGCAGTTCGAGTTTCAATCGATTTTCGTTAAATTTCCGTCGAATATTACGTACAGTAGAACCTTCGTTGTAGAAATTTTCGTTGAATTTTTTATACGATAAAACAACAAACGTTTGGAACTAATTTAATTTAATAATCCAGATGAAATTAAATAAAATACTACTTATTACAATCTCTACGTATTCTGCGATGTTCTATTGCAATTTCTACGGAAATAAATTAACTTTCTAAAGGGTTCCGTAAGATCTGATTTATCAGTGAACTGAATCTAGTAATTTTCGTTCGGGATAGATTATTTTCGCACGAATCGAACGTCTCTATTCGTGTTTGCTTTTAGCCGGTGATTGAAGGCACGAACGATTTTTCTTGCCTCTTTTTTTTTTACAGTCTCGGCGACGCGTGTAATTGACGCGCCAATTAAACATCGCACGGTACACGATTTCAGGTACAAATGCGCCAATTACGGTGACCAAGGAATTTCTGTGAACTGCAGCGACGTGTACAAGCACAATATCGATTGTCAGTGGGTGGACATATCCGAGCTTCGGCCTGGACAATACACTTTCAAGGTACGGGGCGTGTTTACGTTACCCTTTATTAACTGCTTCTACCGTCGCGCGAATTATTAAGAAAAACTCCGTCGCGCGGCTGCGCACAGCGGACCTCTGACGATGCAACGAGACTCGATGCACGTGCGCGACGATATCGGGTCCTTTGTGGACCCGTTATCGTTTCTCGTAACAGAAGTATGTAAACATAATCACGTGCATAACGAAACGATCAGGGGCAGTCAGCCGACATCGAAACTAAGCGCCTTAAAAAAAACGTAATGAGAGATTCAAATGCAGTTAACCGGGTATTCCCACTCAGGGACGTCGATTTTAACACGTTCAATGTCAGATCGAAACAGTAGAATATTTTGCAAAGAATTTTTATTTTAGACCATTGCAAGCTACATAACCTAAAATTTGTTTCACAAATTCTATCCAAATTTATTTCCCTCGACGTCTTAACTTGAGGATTAATTTTTCTGGTTCCATATACAGGGTGTTCGGCCACTCCTGGGCCTTTTTCCAGAACGATTGAAATTTTTTAGTTCTGTCGAAAAATTTCACACCTTCGCGAATTTTTTTCTCGAAAATGGGTAGGATTTCGAGGGTATGTCTAATGCCCAAAAATGATTGTAATTGACCCCCGCAACCGATAATAATTTTTCCAAAACGATTTGAAATTTTTTTTTCCGTTGAAAAATTTCATACCTTCGCGAATTTTTTTCTCGAAAGTGGGTAGGATTTCGAGGGTATGTCTAATGACCAAAAATGATTGTAATTGATCCCCGCAATCGAAAATAATTTTTCCAAAACGATTTGAAATTTTTTTTTTCCGTCGAAAAATATCATACCTTCTCGAATTTTTTTCTAGAAAATGGGTAGGATTTTGAGGTTATGTTTAATGACCAAAAATGATTGTAATTGACCCCCGCAACCGAAAATAATTTTTTTAGTATGATTTGAAATTTTTGAATTTAATTGTTAATAACTTTTTAACGAAGCCTCCATCAACAAATTGGTATTCTTGATTTTCGTCTTATTTTGTAACCTTATTTTGAACACCCTGTATAGAAGACCTATTCCACCCTTGACTAGGTTAGAAATCTTCGGAAAACGAAATATCGAACTACATAACCTAACATTTCTTTCGTTACTTATTTCTCTCAGCGTCTCCACTTGAGAATTAATTTTTCTAGTATCATGGTGGTAAATCCTGTCACCCATATATGGCTGATAGTGTCAAGAAAATTATAAGAAATTATTTGAATCTTTCTGCGTGAAATCTTTTCTTTGGTAATGAGATATCCGGCTCCCCACTTTGGGGAGCATCGATCCCCTTGAATAAAAAAAGAATAAACGGCTGCTGGTGTGTAAAGCCTGCCCGAGAAGCCGGGCAATCGCGATACCATAGGAGAGATATAATCGAACGATATTTACGTTTTCAGGTCGCAGTGAATCCGGAGTTCAAAGTGGGCGAGATGTCGTTCGACAATAACGCAGCGATTTGTCGTTTGCTCTACACGGAAACTTTCGCCACTGTGCACAGTTGCGTCATGGGTCGGCCTTGACACGAGCCGTTATAATAATGGCGCGTTGTGATTCTACGAGGGGGGTAGGGGGGGAAGAAGCGCAAAAAGAACAGAAGAAAAACCGAAGAACCGAACCCCGATGCACGTTCGTTATCGTCAGCTTGTTAATTAAAATCCATCTGCTTTTCGCGCGACGCTACGTAAACAATAAATCTCGCTCGAATTAATCGTTCTGTGTCCTTAATTGCCGCGCCATTTCGGTCACAGTCGTCGAGAAAAACACTCGACGGAATAACGGAGGCGCGCGCTCTCTCGTCGAGACTTTTGCTGTTCTTCGATATTCGATAGAGCGCGAATACGAAAACCGATGTCAACATTTTCTTCGCTTTGAAGCCCTTCGAATTTCGAGACCTCGTTGGGTCTATAAATAGAATAAATGTTCCGTTGATATATGGAATCCGATTTAGATCATTTTCGATGCAAGCTTCATAGTAATATAATAATAATTATAAGTAGCAACGAGTCTACAGGGTTTAAATTTAATATTAATATTTTACGATATTCTACATTTGTTAATGAAATGTTTGAAGATGACAAAAACGTGAATAATGTTATGCAGCTTGCTAAAAACTTCACCGAAGTTAATTATTAAAGATCTAATTTCTTAATGTGCTTTTTCAATTACACGGTACTAACTAAACCCCATCGATCATCTGTATCTTCTTGAATAAACTTGATATCACGTTAAGTAGAACTGTATTATTTTATTCCTATCCTAACCTGAAAGTATTAGTCTGTTCAGAAATAATAAAGAAAGAGGTTGAGTGTCACTGCTGTCTTGTGGTGTTACTTATAGTATACTATCTTCCAGTTTAATTAATAGACTTTGAATGAATATTTAGAATACAGCGAGATAGAGAAAAACTCTGCAAAGGGGTTCTTGTATGCTAAATGGGGTATAGAAGTGCACACACCCTTTGATGTCCAGGCCCTACATTCTGAATACGTGATTTTATTAAATTCTTTGAGCTCTCCTTATCATTATTATTAAAATTGTTCACCAGAAGAAAATAGTAAAACGCCTATAAATGAACTCTGTAAAACGTGAAACCAATCTACAGATACAGATGAGGATGACTTCAGCAGTTTCAACAGTTTTATTGCAACGAACAAGTTTTGTGATTCTACTTGCAAATAGGCGATAACAATTATCAAGAATGTTGTTGGTTAATAATAAGACATTATGTAAGACGTATACGTTACCGTGTGGGGGACAAGTTAAGCTAGATAATAAAGCATCGATGAATTAGTGTGCGAGTTGGAAAGTTAGGGCCCATGGAGGGTTAAGATGGTATGGATCGACGCCTTGGACGCGCAACCAGCCGGACAGATCGAAGCCGTCGCAGGACGACCTCCTCGTCGTTGATGCTCGCCGCGCACGGAATCTCAAGTTTTGGAGTCTAGGACCGAATTTATAGACATTGACCCGCGCGCGCTATCCTCATAGTTTGTTCTAGATTTTAAACCGCAACTACGCTAATAAATGAACAATTCAGGAGAGAGGTTCTTCGCGTACCCAGCGACTCGGTATAGACTCGTGCACGCGCCTAGTCGATACTCGGTGTCCTGGAATATCGCGACCGACTCTACGAACAGCTCTTCGAAAAACTATAAACCTAGACGAATGGAAAATTGACATTCGACTTAATTTTTCAATTGGAAAAATTTAAAAATAGAAGACATTCTCAATGGAGATATAACTGGAACGATGCACTGGTGATTTTTTATCATTACGTTTTATAGGTTAGATTTTACCAAATTAAAGTTACAGACTTTAATGTAGATCGTTCTTTTTTTAGATAAGGAGCCTTGCGCCCCGTGTCACCTTCGATTACGATTGCTCATAATCTGATAATTAGAAGCGGACGGGACTTTGTCGTTTCACCTACATTTTCCTCGTCGCGAACGCAGGAGGCCTTGGTTACCAATTAAGTTGCGTGACAATATCCGTAATGACTACGATTCTTTCTTTTTGGACGCCATTTTGATCGCTTGTACAACAATAATAATAATATTAATAATATAGAAAGAAAAATAATATTTTTCAAATTCGGTGAAGGCTTCGAAAACTACTGCACCAATTTTACCGATACGAGTATTTTAATACAAAGACAGAAGTTCATTGAGGTTAAATTTCTGACGTCTAACATACTTTTAAACGCGAGCACCGACAGTTAAAAATTAAAACTTCGCTATCCCCTACACATCCCGACAATGTTACTTTTAAAGTGGCTAAAGTAACCTCGTCCATCTTCGACCCCCCTCCCCCTTCAAGCTTATCAGTCTCCATCAATTAACAAACAAACTCTGTCTTCTAAATTTCAATTCCCCTCGAAACAAGTATTCGTAACGTCCTCTCGAGCGTTTTAATCTCGCAGAAAGCAATCTCGATTCGACGAACTGCCAAAAAACCGATTACCCCGTTTGCTATCGCGGGAGAATTAAATCCGAAAAGCAAGGTCTCGTCCACGGAGCGTCGTGATTCCCGTCCGGCCATCGATTTCGATGAAACGGAACATCGAACTAGGTTAACTCTTTTATTAGACAAAGGATCTCGCGGGGCTGTCGCGTTCGATCATAGAGAAGAGGGGTCCCTGTCGATTCCGCCATCGCGATACCAGCGCGGCCTAGCCTCCCGTCAAGAAAAGACCCCGGCTGTCAATTAGATCGCATGTGCCGTGCTTAAATGGCTGCGGAACACACAACGTGACCGAACGTATAATACGTTTAAAAAAGGGGGAGGGTCAGAAGTATGGCTTCCGTGTTGGTCACTGTCGTGTGCAGTGCGCCAGCTGCTCCCTTCGTCGCGGTCGTGAAAGTTTCGCAACGGTGCGTCGCCGAAAACGCATCGTCGTTCAGTCGCGCCCTCGAGCCAGGACACGACGCGACGCCCTGAGGCCCCCGCGATCCAACGTCCACCGAAACGGTCCATCGAGTCCAATCTTCGAAACGGAGAGGCTGCGACAGAGAGAGCGCGGAGGATCACGGGCCACGCGTGCAACCGTTGCTAGACACCTGCTCGGTAAACAATGCCGCCGTATGACTCATCGAGGGGAAAACCAGAGCTCGATACGACGGACGAAATGTAGACGGTTCGGATAAAGTGGACACGGGGGACGCGCGGAACAGTCCTCGAATCTCCGTTAGACTGCATCTGGAAATAAGTTGACGGGGTGTCGAGTTACATGCAAGCCGTGGGCTGGAAACTTGAGACGGACAATGGCCGATTCTGGAGAGTTCAGGAAAAGGACATTGGGATCGTGGAACGAAGCGTTAGGGTTAGGTCACTCATGAGACCGTAGTCTGGAGGTATCAGAAAAGGAGTCACCTGTCACACGTAGAGAAAATTAATGATATAGTCTAGAGATATTTGAAAACTTGGACGCCTACAAGTAGATTCAAGGTTGACTAAGAGGATCTAAGGTTTGCTAGGCCACCGCGCGTGGACGCAATTGAGGTTAACCGATCGAAGTTCGATAGATTGGCGGGGTCCGCGAGTCTCCGGGGCCCAAAGTTCCAGGACTAATCAGACCCAACCTAGACACTTTGGAAAGTACACAGTTCGTTCCGGGTATTACCCGTGTCAGAGTTCCCGTCGCCAAGTGAATCGATAATGGTGTATCGGACGCCAGGGGTGCAACAAGGGTTGCGAGGCTCGAGTGAATCGTCGTAGGCTGGGACCCCGGATTGGTGTGGCAAAAGTGCAGGTCGCTATCAACGTGAAATGTTGGCGACGATAGTCGTAAAGTGGAAGGAGAACGTGTTCCAGGGCGATCGTTGGTCCAACAGTGGGTCTCGTCACGCGATTTAATGGATTCGATCGGAGTTAATGCGCTGCCCGGCGAGTCACGCTTCCGCGACGGATCCTCGACGCTGTGAGCGACGTGTCCCGCGTGTCCTGGCGTCGTTTGCTAGCGTCGATCTCTTGGCGGACGATCCCGGTGGTCCCCGGAGGATCGGTAGACGGGAATCATGGCTCCTCTTCCCGATAGGAAGATCCGGCGGGGCTGACGCGACCGGAAGTCGTTCGACGATGGCGTTCGTTGTCCCTGGAATCGAGTGAGACCGACTCGACTGCGAACAGGGGCTTCTAGACCACCCTCTCCCCCCTTGAATGGGGTATCGATTAAACACGAAACAATGACGGGAACCTGTTCTCGCTGGAGACTTTGCACGAGCCGCGGCATGTTCTTCTGAGGGGGAGGACGTGTGTGTCTGTTGTGTCGCGCCATCTGTTTTCGATGACAATCATGTTGGCCAAGGTCGTGATCTTGCTGAGCGTCCTGCGATTCGCGCTGTCGCTGGAGGACCGAACCACGTGCGCGAAGAACCGTAGCATGATCGAGATCCCCGGCGACGCTGTTCTGTCGTGTAAGATGGGCACAGTGATGCACGGTTTACTTTCGTTAGATTTACGGACCCAACAATGAAAGTTATGCGTAATTTTTTTTTTTTTAATTTCGATTCAAAAATGGCACCGACGCGTTCTTCAGGTTCTCCCGATTAAAACGAGTCCAAACACGACATACGTCAGACTACTTTTTAAGTTAGTTAATATATATATGCAATATTAGGATATTAGTTAAATGTGATCCGATTTATGTGGTGTTTGGACTCGTTTTAATCGGAAGAATCTCAGAAATGCATCGGTATCGTTTTTAAAAAGGCAAGATGAAAAATATAGAAAGTAAAAATTGTTCTTGTTCCACGATTATTGATCTTCTTACCGTATCTCTTTGAACTGCGTTTGTTGTCCGTTTCATTCTATCGATTCTCCTTCTTCTCTACACTGGGTCAAGTTCCGTTTAGCTCGAGAAAGGGAAGGGATTAGGGGGGCATGAACAGTGGAAAGTAAACCGTACAATACTGTATATTGTCGAAGGGGTTAAAATTCTTCGATTTCTTTGTTCTTAAATGGCCTTATACACTGTTACCTTTAATTGCAAATAGGCATCGGTTTGTAACGTTGATTTTAGTATTCCTCGACATCAACTATGGACCCTACTGCAACATCACGTCTGCGAAGGGTCTCCAAGAAATGTCCACGGCGTTCTACGTGGTACACGCTCTGAACAAGTACGAATTCGTGCCTGGACTTCCACTAGGTATACCAACGTTCGATAAAAAAAATAAACAGAAACTTTCATAGTCCCCGTTTAACATCGAAAACACGGGAAATTCTTCTTTAGCTTCGAACAATTTTTAAACGACCCCAATGTCATTTTCAAGTCATCGTATCTATTCCAATTGTGCAGGATTAAAAATCTTCGACACCTGCCACGACGAGATGACGGTATACAAACAGTCCCTGCAAGCAGCAGTGGACTCTGACTGCACAGATCGTTACGAATTGGGGATCCTGCTGCCGACGGAGTACAGCACGATCCTGGAGCCACTTCGTAATTACAGTATCCTGCCCATCAGCACGTACCACGAACAGAATCTGACGAAACCGTTGCTGAATCTGTTGGTGCACTACCTGAGCACCAGGTTCGAGAGCATCGATCTGTTGCTGGTCGACTCGGAGTTCGCGTTGAATTTCTTCCTGGACGCCACCAGGGAGGCCGGTGTCTGCGTGAAGAATTACGCCAAGACCGTGGAGCTGGACGAGAACGACACGGAGGCTGTGATCGCCGTGATCGGAGGGAGGAACGAAGCTCGTCAGTGGATCGAACGGGGCGAGAAGCTGCAAGGGCATAGAAAAACATGGATCGTCCTTCCCCTGGACGGATCGAACGTCGACGGTGAGAATTTTTACTTTTTCTATACAGTGTATCCGGTCAACTTTAGGAAAAATTTTAATAGAAGATTCTAGAGGCCAAAATAAGACGAAAATCAAGAATATTAATTTCTTGATTGAGGGGCTTTGTTAAAAAGTTATTAAAAAATTTCAAATCATTTTGAAAAAATTATTTTTGGTTGCGAGGTTCAATTAGAATCATTTTTGGTGATTGGACATACCCCCGAAATCCTACCCACTTTCGAGAAAAAAATTCGAGTAGATACTGAGATTTTTAGACGAAATTAAAAAATTTCAAATCTGTTTGGAAAAATTATTTTCAGTTGCAGGGGTCGATTACAATCATTTTTGGTGAATAGACACACCCCCGAAATTCTACGTATTTATGAGAAAAAAATTCGAATACTACCATCTTGCGCGCGCAGCTGTTTGCAAATTGTTGTTCCACAGATGGAACTTTAAACGTTAATAACTTTTTAACGAAGCCTCGATCAACAAATTGGTATTCTTGATTTTCGACTTATTTTGTCCTTTAGAGTCTCCCATTGAAATTTTCCCCGGGAGTAACACCCTGCATATTTAAAAAAATAGTTTGATGTAGCAAACGAGACGCCAGACTTGTTGCTTTGGAAATAGTCGCGTTTTAAAATGGTTATTCCTATCGCGAAATCGAGAAAATTGATTTTGTAAATGGGATTACGGTAATTGGATTTTATTCAGTCCGCCCAGAAATCGGTTTAAGTTCGATTTAGCCGAGCTTGGACGCATTTAGAGTAAACGAAGAGCGTCTGATCCGTTTAAGAAAGGCACGAGACCCGGGCAGTGTTAATCAAAAACAGATAGAAACGCGTCCATGTTCCCAGACCTCGTACCGCCAGGATCGTACGTCGTGAGGGCGCCGTCCTTCGACCTGGACCCGCTGCAGGACGTCACCTCAACGGACGATTTCCTGGCAGCGACCGGGAACACAGTGATCCACTCGTCGCACCTTCTCGGCGTCGGGAAGGCGGTGTTCGAGCTGGCGCAGGTTCTCCAGGACCTACAGAGACGGAACTGCCACCGCGGAATGGAGACATCCTGCGTCCTGCCCCGCTTCAACCCCCGCGCTGGCTCGGAAATACGAAACTCCGACGTATACAATGCCCTTCGTATATTGCCCAAGCTACACTCGATCAAATACATCGTCGTGATGAGGAGCCAAACCGAACTGATCGACATGGCCACCTACAGGGTGGAACCGGCCAACTTGAAATTCAGGATCACCCCCGAATCGAGATTGCCAAAAATGCCAAAACTATGCCTGAAGAAGTACGCGAAAAATTGCGAAGATTGCTTGAACTTTAAGAGGAGGGGCCTACGCGGTGTCACCAGAGGTACGTATCCAAGGCGGCCATTTTGTTGAATTTTCAATTCGGTAGAGAACAAATTTTATTCTCGTCAATTTAATAATGTCGAATGGCACGAACTTATGGGACGACCTAATACTTCGATTCCTATTTGGGGGTGGGCAGTGTCCCCCTGAAAGTTTGATACTTACAAAATCTCTGATTTCAATAAAATTATCTCCAAGACAAAGGATTTAAAAAAAGTAATTTCGATTTGGGTAATATAGTCGAGGCGTTAATTACGAACAAAATTTTACGAATAAATTAAAGGGATATCCGCCGAAGCAAATGTTGGGTTCGTCAATCCGAGAGACAGTAACGTCAAAGAACTTACGAGAGGGCTTACCATTCCGGACAACGACGGGAAACATAATACCGAATTGTCGCGTCCCGGGTCTCTCCGGGGAGTACAAAAGAAAATTCTCATTAGGGGGATAATTTGATAATTAGAGAAGCGCGGCTCCGTCGAAAGGAAGAGAGGTCGATGCTACGCCCCCTCGATAGGGACAAGAACGGTTTCTCGATAAAACGACCAGGTACTCGGGAGCAAAACGGACCAACTAATGTCCCTGCTCGTTACAGATACACTCGACAGGGGTTTATTAAAGTCGGGCAACTGGATACCAATTTTCCTGACGGTGGCGGTGTGCGGCACGTTCGCCTGCGGCGTGATTGCCGTCTTCATTATCTACCGCTTCATCGCGGAGGACGTTCTCGATGGGAATCCCGCACTAACGATCGTCCTGATACTGGCGAACATTTTCACTCTATTGACGGTCCTGCCGTTCTGCATGAACGACTACTACGTGGGTGCCGAGGCACTCAACTCCAGAAAGATCCTCCTCACCACGCTTACCTTCGGAATCGACTTCTCCGTGATGCTGTCCAGAGCGTTCTTTCTGGTATTCTCCAAGGGCGGTGTATTCACAGCGCACATCAACGGATATCTGCAGGGTTTGATGGTGTTCTTCATGTTCGGTGTACAATTCGCCATATCGATCATGTTCTTCATTCTCAGCGACGAGGACTCCAGCGTAGTCGTCAGGAGCCTCGTCTTCATCGGCCTGCTAGGTAAAGTTTCTTTTCCTGTTCGGTTTTATTGTTTGAGAAACGTGAAAACGGATCGTTAATGGACGATATACGATCGAGCAATTGTAACTACAAAGGATTTATAAGATTAATGAAAGAAAGCGCAATAAGATAGCTCGTTACTGCGATCACTTTGCCCGTACGCGGTTAAAACACGACTGTGAGGATGCCCGCGAACTTGGCCACCACGAGGCATCGATTGGCGGGCCCGTGATCGATGCGCGCGCTTGTCACTTATGAGCAGATGCCCAATTTCGGTCTCGAGCGCATCTTTCTATGAGCAAGACGGTCTCCTGTGCATGCACAATGCGTGCCCGAGAGGTGCTGCCATTGAGCGCCCTGGTGGTCCAAATATTAATTATTCCTTGAACATCCATTAATTCTTTCACGCGTTTCGAATCATCATGTCGTCGGAACGAATTTAATTGCCCGACGAACAATTTTAACTTTACTTTCCTCTACATTTGTTCACAGTAGGGTTATTTACAATTTCACAAGTATTTCTTCCTTTGTAAAGAATATTGCAACACGTTGTAAGTTCAAAGTGATGGTCACACAAAATTAAAAAAAAAAATATTGCCAACACTACGCACTGTTCCCAAGCGGTCACCCATCCAAGTACTAAATGCGCTCAACGCTGCTTAACTTCGGTGATCGGACGAGAACCGGTGTTTCCCAGCGTGATATGAGCGTTGACAAATAATAACAAACAATGATTCGAAGATCAGAAACATACGTTTCGATAATCTCTCTATTTAATAAACTAACCTACAAAAATTCCTGAACAGGCCCTAAAACTGCATCGCGAATAAAAATCTAATCTTTAAATCAGAGTCTACTAACCATTTCGACGAGCCTATCGTCCTTTGGCCCTTCGTGGATCGAAACAGCCCTTTATTTGTACTCGCAAAAAGTAAAGAAAACACTTAACGAAACCGTGCGTTTACGTTTCCAATAAAACCATAAAATTGCAGTAGAATTTATCGCGGTCGTTCGAGGACCCTCGACGTGCCACGGTCAAATCCCCCCCGAGGGTGTTTTTGATAAAAGTTTACGAACAGCGTCGATAAAAACATTTTCTAGGATACGATATATTTCTGCTGATGACGCTGTTCGTGGTGTGCTTCTTTATCGCCCGGCTGCCGCGCAATTATCGCGAAGGAAAGTGTTTCTTCGGGACTTCCATCGGTCTGCTGATAACCTGGGCCATCTGGCTGACCTGTTTCATCCTGGTGGAACCGGAATGCCGCGACATGGTGGTCTCATTCGGCATCGTCGCCACGGCGTACTTGATCGTCATCGGAGTTTTAATTCCCAGGACCTATTACATGATCACGCACCTGGCCAGAGGAAAGGAATACGGCCAGAGATTCGGCTCGACGGATCTGGGCCCCGATCCGAGGATAAACACTATTATGAGGCAGGTCAGAGCAACGACTTGCATCGGTAGGGTTGCCATCTCTTCGGGTTTTATGGTTCGAGGCACCGTTTTTAACGTCACGACGTTCGGTGACAAGCATCTGCTGAGAGATTAGCGACTACTCGAGTCGCAACAAAGTAAATTGACCGTTCATTCGAGGACTTCGACGGAGGCTATCCCCTCCATGATTGTAACTTAATAGAAATCTGCACGCTCGCGCCCTCTGTCCTTTCACCAGCGAAGCTGCTTGGCTTGGCGTAAAAATACGGAATCACGACTATTGTATAATTAAATTTTCTATTCTCGGATTTCGGACGCTATTTAGTATTCGATTGAAACAAACTTTCGGAATATAAAATTCGTGATTTGAAAATATGGCAACCCTACGAATCAGCCATGTTTGAATCCCGCGATATGTGTTACACCTTTTTTCTTTTTAAACATAACCTGTACGTTTTTGTAGCGACGTAGCTTGTAAGAATTTGTTCTCCCTGTATTTTCCCCATTCCCTTCGTTTATTTTCCACGTAGAAATATATTTTGTTACATCCCAAAGTATCTCCTTTTTAGTTGAATAAAGTGCTTATGTTTCTGTTGTGACCACTATTTTATTTACCTCGTAATGCTTCTAGCGTATTAATTTAGAATCCTAAATGAGTTCTAGTTACGATTCTCTGATGAATCTTAGTAGTTTTATTTAATTTCAACACCCTTGAAATATGTGAAGGTAACAATATTCCGAACAACAAAATATTTTTGCATATATCTTCACGAATAACATAAAAATCAATGAAATACAATACATGGTATAAAAAATAGGAAATGGTTGTAATTTTCTTCACATGATGTTTGATCCTTTCAAACGAATAATGTTTCCTTCGACATTTTCGATCGTATCGAAGACGTTCAGAGCCAAGTATTGAAACGGTCCGCATGAAAGGTATTTTCTGTTGCGCAGACACGGCCGTTTTACGATTACGTGCACCCCGCCGGAGGAAGCGTGACGAATTTGCAGGTAGCCTCCGCGTACCCGAACTACTACGGTAGCTCGAGCCCGAACCAAAAGTACCTGGCCCAAACCAGGAGCCCGGACACGAGGAGGGTACCGGGATATAACAACTACGGATTCCACACGGAGATGCGAGAAGTGAATAACGCTTACAAAATACCGCAAGTCTGCATCGAGGATGCGGACGTGAGACTTTTTTACCAATTTTTTCCCCGGGACCGCGTTTTTCTCGTAGCTTCGAACGGTTACGCGCAAAATTATCGCCTACTGGCACGCGTATCCGTTCGAACGACTGTTCGCGACGCAGTATTACCTCGCTAGTTGCATCGCGCGCCGCCCGGATAACTGCAACGTACTCGTTACCCATCATCTGTCTTTCAGATGTAATTTTGTTATCAGTAGAACATCTGAAGCTTCGTAGAGTGTCTCGCTTCTTGCATCGATTTTTGTTGGGGATACTTGCAAACAAATTTTGAAAATTTATATTTTTCTCGAGTATGATTATACAGGGTGTTTCGACACCCCTGGGAAAAATTTTAATGGGAGATTCTAGAGGCCAAAATAAGAGGAAAATCAAGAATACCAATTTGTTGATGGAGGTTTCGTTAAAAAGTTATTAATAATTAAATTCAATAATTTCAAATCGTTCTGGAAAAATTATTTTCGGTTGCGGGGGTCAATTACAAGCATTTTTGGTCAATAGGCATACCCCCGAAATCCTAACCACTTTCTAGAAAAAAATTCGAGAAAGTGTGAGATTTTTAGACGAAATTAAAAAATTTCAAATCATACTAAAAAAATTATATTTAGCTACAGGGGTCAATTACAAGCATTTTTGGTCAATAGACATACCCTTGAAATCCTACCTACTTTCTAGAAAAAAATTCGAGAAGGTGTGAGATTTTTAGACGAAATTAAAAAATTTCAAATCATACTAAAAAAATTATATTTAGTTGCAGGGATCAATTACAAGCATTTTTGGTCAATAGACATATCCTCGAAATCCTGCCCACTTTCTAGAAAAAAATTCGAGAAGGTGTGAGATTTTTCGACGAAATTAAAAAATTTCAAATCATACTAAAAAAATTATATTTAGTTACAGGGGTCAATTACAAGCATTTTTGGTCAATAGACATATCCCTGAAATCTTACCCACTTTCGAGAAAAAAATTCAGTACTGGCGGAACTTTAATCGTTAATAACTTTTTAACAAAGCTTCCATGAACAAATTGGTATTCTTGATTTTCGTCTTATTTTGGCCTTTAAAATCTCCCATTAAAATTTTTACCAAGGGTGGCCAAACACCCTGAGCGATTTGCAAGTATCCCTAACGCGAACTGGTGCAAGAAATGAGGCATACCGTAGGCGTTTTAGAAGGGTCGTTCCAAGTCAAATCGATCGCTTTTTCCTTAGGGAATAAGGTGATCGATTTAACGTGGAACGAGGTGAAAAAGAAAAATGGCGTCGGTTCAAAGTTACGTTAAGAACTGAAGAAGTAACGTTTCCAGTCAAGAACGAGCCCCGCGGAAAGGAGCAGCGTGAACTCCGCGTACGCACGACCCAAATGCAACCGGAAGACGAAAACCAGGGACGAGAAAGACTGTATAGAGACAGACGTCTACGTGGAGAGTAACCACGGAACCGTTCGCAGATCCCACGACGAGATCTATCCCGCGAGATCCATCAGTCCCAGATTGGCGCAAATGGAGGCGACCATCCGCGAGGAGGACGAAGAGGACAACGTAACGAGGATAACGCGATTCTGAGACTCTAATCCGCCAGTGTTCATATTGTAGTCACGCGCCGCATAGAGAACTGTGCTCCCGTTGAAATAAATCCTGTTGGTTCGTGTGATCGATTGGGCGGATGGAATTATTTTTTTTCTTCTTTTATCACTTAGATTCTATTATAGCTCTATCGATTTCGTTCAATAAGAAATGTGGACGTCACGTTCGGTTGTTATAGATTTTTACTTTATCGATCTGATCCTACTGTCTTTGGGGGAGTCTATCGCTTCCCGTACTCGCCGCCAGAGGGCTACGACGCTCTTGTCTCTCTCGCAAGCATTAGACCGACCTTCCGTTTGTATATATATGCTTCTTGACCGACGTCTAAGGCGAGGCTCACTCTCCTCCATCTCTCGTCAACAGGACTTCATCTTTAAATGGGTTTTTTTATTGAAATTATCTAGTTTATAGAACCATATTCCGAGAATCGACGCGAATTTAACAATCGAACCCCGGTAACTTGGATCCGATTCAATTACCCGATGTGCTCGGACCGTCATTATCGACTTAATTAAAGTACAAAACGAAGCGACACCGTAACGGGAGGAGCCCTTGTGCGACGGAAGGACTCCCGCGAGCAGAGAACCAATTTCGCGTGTTCCCCTTTGAAATTGCATTACGGGACGATCGTAATTCCGCAATCAGGGCACAGGTGTACGTTCCGGTGGAATATCGATGACAGTGACGCAACCGGAAACCCGCAGGATTCCGCCACCGATCCCCGAGATCCCGAACGAAGTTTATCCATAGTAACCAATTAAAAAATATAAAAAAACAGACAACGGAGAAGACACATCGATTCTCAAAGATTATTATAAAAATATATTCCAATATAAGAGAGAGGCTGGATGCTTCGAAGGGACACACAATAGATGGAAAATTCGATTTTCCTTAAAACTCTTCGCGCGCTATGGTAAGAATTCCAACGTCCTTCGAGTAGTTTTCCACGCCATGAGGCCAACCCCGTTTGAAAATAATGAACATCCAGGGGCGTCTGGCGGTGGACGATAAGCGTCCATAACGGGGCGATAAATCGAAAAGTGCATCGGCTCGTGAAAAGGGCCCCTGGTGCTCGAGAGCGTCACGGACTCCGTAGATTCTGAAAAAGCTTCTGCGCACAAGGACTCCCCGGCCGCGAGCGCTATAAAAGCTCGATCGGGACTGGTTCGCTTTCCAGTCACGTATATACACCTCTGTTTCTCCGTTATCGGGAGCCGGAATTTCGAAAGGGTTGGTCCGCGAACCCATCCGCGACGGTCGATATTTTAGTTTTATTTCCTTCGAGGATCGTTCGACCGATAACAAAATGGGAAAAACAAACCGAGGACTCGAACGGTAGCGACCGCCCGGAACCACTGGACCGCTGGTGGTCGTTTGTCGCGCGCCTCGCTTCCGGAATCTCGTTTCGACCGCCACGATGACGATGTTCGAAACTATGAAGTACTCCCGCCTGATTCCTGTCGTTGTCGTCTACCTGAGCCTCTTCCTGGATAACGTTTTGCTCACGGTTGTCGGTAAATACCATTTCGACGCCTCTGCTGATATTCTTAAAAATACAATTTTGATTTCTAATAAATTTGTTTTGACGCTCTGAGGGAAATGTTAACACTTTTTTGTAGGTAACCATAAGCCCCACTTCATAAATAAATTTCAATGAAATACACTCGCTATTGTAGGAATTACGATCGCTTGAAAATTGGACCATTTTTATGACCACCCGTTATATTTTCCGTAAAGAATTTTTTTCTCGAAAGTGCGTAGGATTTCGGGGATATGTGTATTCACCAAAAGTGATAGCAATTGATTCCCACAATCGAAAATAATTTTTTTATTACGATTTAAAATTTTTCAATTTTACGGAAAAATTTGCCCCCTTCTTGAATTTTTTTCTCGAAAACGCGTAGGATTTCGGGGTTATGTGTATTCGCCAAAAATGATTGCATTTGACCCCTGCATATGAAAATAATTTTTTCAAAATGATTTGAAACTTTTCAATTCCGCCGAAAAGTTTGTCCACCTTCCTGAATTTTTTTCTCGAAAATGCGTAGGATTTCGGGGATATGTCTATTGACAAAAAATAATTGAAATGGACCCCCACAACCAAAAATAATTTTTTCAGAACGATTTGAAATATTTCAATTTTGCCAAAACAATTCAGCACTCAGCCCCTTTCGATATTTGTTAAAAATTCTTTTTTGAGGCATTTTATCGCCAGAAAAGGTACAGTGGATCGATCAAGGCGGTTTCGAGCCACACGGGTAGATCAGGACTTTGGAAATCCCGTGCAAAAACAGTCCCTATTCATTTTCGCTTACGACGCGCGCGAAATCCTTGGGATTTTCTACGTTTCAGTGCCGATTATTCCCGATTACCTCTGCACCATCGACGAAAACTCGACAAGCGCCGAGAACGATGAAAACGGACGTGTGGGATTATTGCTGAGCTCGAAGGCGTTGGTACAATTAATACTAAATCCAGCGGTGGGCACTCTAACCGGTACCCTGGGATATACCAAGCCATTGTTCCTCGGGAATCTAAGTCTCCTGCTGGCAGCTATGCGTAAGCTCGCTTTTTTCTCTCCAGTCACCTTCGAACCGTGCCTGGACTAATAATCCTAATGCAAAGCTTCGATAAGTAATCGATTAATTCGAATTCTCTGCAACACTTTTACACTTGCAACATTGCCTTAGCCCTTTGCCCTACATTTTAAAATTTTAGTATTTTGTATTCTGATTTAACTATAATTTAAATTTTAAGTATAATTTTCTAAAAATTTTCTAAAATAATTATCATTATTATTTGATACAATACAAAACTGAAACGACGAATATAAAATAGGCGTTATTGTACCTGGTATTCAGAAATATTCAAAATCTATAATTATCATTATTATTTGATGCATTAATATTGATCAGTGGCTTCGAATTTTTCCCCAGTAAGAATGTTGCTAATTTTAATTAATTCCATGCGTTGATTGTCGCTAAAGCATAGAAATTTATTTGTGAAAATTTAATCTGATCTAGTAGGATCCCTATGCTGAACGTCGAGTGCAATAATGGTTTTAGTGTTCGCGTTTGGGCAGACTTACGAGGTCCTCTTCTTGGCGAGAAGCGTCCAGGGTATATCCTCCGCGTGCATAGGAGTGTCCGGGATGTCGCTGGTAGCCTCTCAGTATCCGGACGAGGAGAAAAGGTCGAAGATCATGGGGTTCGTCCTGGGAAGCATCGCTCTAGGCGTTCTGGTGGGTTATCCCATTGGCTCGGTCCTCTACGACCTCGAAGGAAAAATGGCGCCCTTCTTGCTGGTGTCCTGTTTCATCGTCGTCGCCATATGTAATCTTACGAACCTCTCTCGATCGATTTATTTCTCGAAAATATCAATTTGATATTATAAAATATTAATTTTTGATATTAATTTGCAAAACGTTTCAGGCTTGCAAATTTTAGCGATGGACATCGAGACGAAGGTCGAAGTGAGTACAACATTAACGAATCGAGTGACTTTTGTGAATTTTTCGAAATATTCTACTTTATATAGCTTTTAAATTTATAAATAAATCTACCATTTGTTAATCGCGAACAAACATTTGAAGGATCGAAGATATCATTCAAATTTGATTGAATGGTTATGGTCCTATTCGTAATGATTTAATTTGGAGCCTCGATTTATATTTTTGACTTACGGTTACCAAAAACGGGGCAAACAATTCGCGCGGAAAGCGTTTCCTCTCGCTGATAAATAAAACAGGGTTCACTCCGGCCGCCATTTTAAATTATTCATCTTATACATTATTCCACTGTATGCCGCGCGATTTAAATAATGTAAATAATTCTGCAGTCTCGGGAACAAGAAACGTCCTGGACACACCTGCTCTCCGATCCGCATATACTCATCATCTTCGGTGCCATATGGTGCTCGACCTCACCGATGGCAATCTTGGAGTCCTGCCTGCCAATATGGCTGCAAACTCGCATAAAACCGAAGGTTAGAATCACTTTCTAATACGTATCTGCTAATAAAATTATTCCAAAAATGATACTTTCCAATTTGTAATATCAACACGAATCCTTTCTCTTCTAGTATAGTGGTATTTCACAGTATTAATAATAATTTCTTTGTTGCAGAAATGGCAGCTAGGAACAGTGTTCATTCCAGACAGCGTGGGGTACCTGATCGGGACGAATTTCTTCAGCATGATCGCCTATCGCTACGGCCGTAGCAAAGTCGCTGTTTTGGCCATGTTGGTCGTTGGCACCAGCGCCATCTTGATTCCGTCGGCCAGTACTATGTCGCAGCTGATAATCCCACACTTGGGAATGGGCCTGGGCATCGGAGTGGCTGACGCAGCTCTGGTGCCACTGTTGGCCAGCCTGGTGGACCAAAATGGCGACTACGGTCCTGTTTACTCCATTCAACAAGTGGCTGTTAGCCTGGCTTATTCGCTTGGTAATTAAATCTTTTCATGATAGAAAATTTTGTAAATTAATTTACTTTATATCGAATCTAAAATTTCTTGACAAAAAATAATTATAAGAGAGATTTTAAATGTCCATCAAAAAATGATGATAGCCATTTACTAATCTTTTGATGGGCATTTTTGACTCCTCATTTTTGACTTTTTAATTTGTTACGAAATGTTTCTTTAAGGGCCAATTTTGGGAAGCGAAATGGTGAAAGCGATCGGTTTCCAATGGGTGATGGGGATCATCGGTCTGATAAACATTGGCTATTGTCCACTGTTAATATATCTGGCCCTCGAAAGGCGGAAATTACTGACGCAGGACGACGACAAGAGTGATTACGACACTTTTCAGAAATCGGTGACCAAGTACGAGCGATTTCAAGACTCCGACGACGATCTTTGATCGCTCGTGTTGCTCCGACAACTTCAATTGTTCGAGCTAATCAAAGAGAAGACATTTATGTAAATTCCTCGGGGAAATTATTAACGTTGCGGAGCAACAAAACTATTTAAAAAAATTCAAAAGTATTTAAATATTAATCAAAATATGTATATCGTTGTGATTTATACAAAACAGTTGTTCTTCGAAGAGATTTACCATGAGTTTAACTACTCCGAAAATTGAATAAATAAGTACAAAAATAAATTATCGATGTTGAACAGATTATTGTTGCAAATCAAATTTTATATAGCTCCATGTCACTGTATACTAATTACTCTAATAATTTTGTTAATTCTGTAAACAAATATGAAGGATAGCCATTTCCAGAACGTTGAACGGGAATAACAATCACTGTAATTATGGTCTACGGGACAAGAAAAACTAATCAGAAATATCGATAGGGAAAAATAATTCCCTTCGAGAGAAAAGAGGAAGGTAATTAACCGTTAGACGTTCGTATCAATTACCATAGCTGCTCCGCGTTGAATTGATGCCCAGAGAGCGTTCAGAAACAACATTAGTAACATCATTGTACTTCCACTTAACTGTACCATAGGGAGTAACTCTATCCTAAGTTATAACGAAGTAAATTACCATCTCCCAAATTACTAAGCAATGCCCTGAGGCTGTTAGGCGAGCTACGACAGCGTCCGAGGAAGTTTCCTCAGCCCTGAGGAAACCAAGACATTAACGGAATTTCGAAACGTCGCTACTGACGAGTCCCCTCAACTTCCACGCCTCTCTTCGAGTTTAAATCTATCGATACGTTCGAACAATTGTCAAAATTTCCATTTTAAATAAAAGAAAACCACCATATTTATTACTGGACTGTGGATGTTTATGCATTTATGAGAAATTTTAATTCTGAAAAAAATATAGAATGAAGGAAACAATTTTTTTCTCGAAAATGCGTAGGATTTCGGTGATATGTGTATTCACCAAAAATGATTGTAATTCATCCCTGCAACCAAAAATAATTTTTTTAGAAGGATTAGAAATTTTTTAATTTTGTCGAAAAATTTGCCTTATTCCTGAATTTTTTCTCGAAAATGCGTAGGATTTCGGCGGTATGTCTATTCACCAAAACTGATTGCAATTGACCCCCGCATATGATAATAATTTTTTCAAAATGATTTGAAACTTTTCAATTTCGCCGAAAAATTTGCCCCCTTTCTGAATTTTTTTCTCGAAAATCCGTAGCATTTGGGGGATGTATATTCACCAAAAATGATTGTAATTGACCCGCACAGCCGAAAATAATTTTTTTAGAACGATTTAAAATTTTTGTTTTTCGCCGAGAATAAGGCACCTACCCCCTGTCGATTTTTTTTAAAAATTCGTTTTTCATTTTTAATCAATTTCTTTGACGCCGTATGAAAATTTTGTTTAATAGTTGTTTGTAGGTACTCATGAGCTCTATTTCATAAATAAATTTCAATGAAAAGCACACGCTACTGTAGGAGTTATGGTCGTTTAAAAATTACACCATTGCACCTCTACAAAGCTCCCAATTTAATTAATTCTATTAATAAAAATATGCATTTTCCTAAAGATCAGTCTGTTTATTACGTTTCTAATTATTTTATTTTGTAACGATATGTACTCGAGGGGGTTCATAAAAAAAAAATGGGGTTTTTTGGAATTCATCATCCTTGTTTCTTGCTGAAAAAAAAAAGTTGTTGATCCTTGGATTACGCGGTATAAAATGGAGAGAACGTACCGTTTCGTCGAGATTTTTATTTCAATCCGTGGGAGGGGAGGGGGAAAGCTTTCGAGATGACGTTTCCACGTTACCGGAAACCACGTAGCGCGTACGAGGGAAAATTGCACACGGTTAACGCGGTTCAACCGCGGGCTCGCGCAATGAACGGAAAGCGTGCTCGAGCGGCCGCAGTCAAACGACTAATTATCCCTTGAATTGCTCGCAACTAAATTACCGTGTGTAATTACACCGGCGTGACGGCGATGCAAAAGTGTTTAGGTATTTTAATAACGATATTTTACCGAGACGTATATCCCGTCCCGTGCTAAAGGTGTCCAAATACAAGTTTAAATCGAGTCAACTATTACGAACATTTTTATTTAATAAAACGGAACATCAGACTATCTTCCAGTAGCAACGGAACGAGTAAAAGTTGTCGTATAAAGCAATTTCAGCACCCACTATGATATCGTCGATGTCCCGAAAGGTTGAATGTCAACGAGCGCCTAAAAGTAGGCCAGAGATGGTTAAAAAGTTTATTCGAATAATAGATAAACAATTTGAACAACGTAAAACTACCTACTCGTTACGTTTGTTCGATCGAACGATTAAATATTATTTATTTGTTTTGTGGAATATTTAATTTTATTACTGAATTTCTTTATTTTTATTCAAAATTAAATTTCCCATAAATATTATAATTCTGAGTGAAAATTTGATTCTATGAATCAAGCTATTGGCTATTTAACATCGCAATTAGGATTCGTGATGAAAAAGAATGGTAAAAGAAGACACGATCGAGACCGGAAATGGAGTGTTAGGGGCGATACGGAAACGGTCGATGCTCGATATTAATTCCATTTTCGCGTGCCGGGAGAACGTTAAAAGTTGACTGGCGATCAGGACGGGATTAAAAATTTAAAAATTAGAGTAGACAATGTATTTACGACTACGGATCTATAATACACTGGGAACGCATTTACACTCAACGACAGAGGGAAGTTAAAGTAAAAAAAAGTATATTTAGATCGCACGGTTACGTCACGTATACCGATGCTTTACATGGAAGGTTGAAAACTAAAAGTTGCGATAAAATTTTTAGTTCTTAAAAGCCGATAATCGCGCTCGTTTTCTGTGTATTCAAAGTTGGAGGTAAAAGTTGCACGCCGACTGTACAAAGGCACCTAAAACAGGTTACCGGAATAACTGGCCCACTTTTTAAAAAAAATATATCAAATATTACGCGGAAAATTCTGTCTGGTTCGTGTCCTTCGATGTTTCAAGATCGCCGCCATTTTGTAATCTCCAATCCGTGATATCAAAAATTTAGTAACGTATTAAATAAGACATAATAACGTTGAAATAACTGTACGCATAAAATAGACATGAAATTTTCACTAATTTTTGTTAATTAATAATTGTACATTTCCAATTGAATAATGAATATTTGCGAAGGTCCAAGGGCGTTGAATTCTTCGAGAACGTGCATGCTCAAGATTCCCAGATTCGCCATGATTGTCGCGGAACAAAGGGACAAATTAGCACGCGACGCTGAACAAGGACCGTTACCTCAACAGTGGGTTTTCCTTGCACAAAGGACGTTAGGCTAATTGCTCCGCGATCGAAACAAACTCTGCACAGCAGGACAATGCAAGAAGCACCGTCGAAGAGTCTGCTCGCGACGACAGCGTTGAAAGTTGATAGACGCGTAACGAACTAGTCTCACCGGAATGATAAACACCGTTCGTTTCGCGGGATCCTCGAGGAGGAACGAGAAAAGCCGATGTTTCGTGGAAATGGAAGGACTGACAATAAGTCCCACGACGGCTGTTGCATAATGCACTCGAGACACTGTTCATAATTTACACTTACGAGACGAGCGAAACCCGCATTGCAAATAGCGATTCTCTGGACGTTCGAGAAAAGGAACTTTATAATTTTAAAACATTTACAAGTTTAAAACGGACAAAGTGTTATAGGGCACTAGGATCTACTTCGAATAGATCCGAGAACACAGAGAAATGTACGTTGTTGTTGCATTAGAATCGCGGCGCGTGTTCATTCCACGTGATACCGGCACGAAGTGGTTAGGTTAGAAAGATCGCGTACGGTTGGAAGGAAGGAAGCAGGGGAAACGAGAAGAAACGCGTGATTGGTTCTTACCGCTAGCGCGGACATGCGACGCACCAATGAACGCACGTCGTCAAGATCGCCAATGTTAAACTCTGTGTAAATTATAACATTTTTATTGAATATAGGATGTGATATTATTTATTGCTTAGATGCTGATTTTTCGACTCGATCGATTTACGAACGCGTGCAAACATAACCTCGGTTTACGCGATTCCCGTCGAACTTAATCTTCGTGAAATCGGATCGTTTCCGTAAGAACATTGAACCGCGCTGGTGGGACGATGTTAACGTCACCGTAATCCCGTAATAACGCTGGTTAAATTGCGCTCCATAAATAGAAAATCGATGTCCTCGTGGGTCCGATTGCGGTCGAAACGAAACACGAGCCCGAACCTTCGCGAAGAACGAAGTCACTTTCTATATTTAGAGCTAACAAACCTCGGTGCATCGAAGATTTTATTTCGTAAAAATGTTCGATCGTGATTCGCGACTCGGTGTCAGGAAATCCGAAATACGATGACGAGACGCGTGGAGGCGTACGCGATGCAAAGAACGTCGCGCACGAACGTGCCCGAAGTCACTTACCGAGCCTCGCGAATCATAACGACAGTGGATTTATTCATTTTCGCGGTGTACGTGAGGAGACTCGAAGGGACGAACGGGAACGATGCCAGCAGGCGAGCACCGACGTAGGAAGAGCCGGATAAAATCAGCAGGCATTCAGGATTCCGATTAGAATTTGAGGAGGGCGGGTCTACTTATCTCCTTCCAGTTCCCGTCGTGCCTCCCCCCCGCCCCCTCTTCGACTTCGTGTTCCCTTCGTGACGGCTAACGAGCCACCTTACCCCGCGGTTGCCCGATTCTATCTTCCTCTTCTTTTTCTTTTCTTCGCCTCGCGAAGCCTGTCGTTGGAACGTCCTGGGGTGTCGAGTTTCGGCTGTCCTCTCGGGAAACGTTTTTTTATACGTAAACGAGATACCGATAAAAAAATGAAACGTCCAAGTGTCCCTATATCGGTGGTTCTTAACGCTTCTTCGTAAAATTTTATTCTTTATAAAATAACCCCAAAGAGATAGTGTTCTAAAGTACCAACAAATCGCTCGGTTCCGTGGGGTCCGTCGTCTCACGTACTCGCCATCAGGGGGCCACGCTCTCGTCTCTCTTACAAGCACTCGACCAACCTTCCATTTGCATATATACGCTCCTCATTCATTTTCCATC